GGCAAGAAATACTGGAGTGGGTTGCCATTTCCTTCTCCAAAGGATCTTCCCAACTGAAGGATCAAACCTGTGCCTCCTCCATCGGCCAGCAGATTCTTTACGGCAGAGCCCCTGGGAAGCATTCTACTTTCTAAATATTTTCCTACTAAAGACTTATCTGTCTCCCCTTAACCAGAATCTAGGCTTTAAGACGTCAAGGATTTGTGTGTTTTGCTCACATGGTATCTAGAATGGTTATTGGCATATGCTTAATAAGTATTTGAAGGAAAACTTAGGCATGGAAAGATGCTGAATAGAAAAAAGATTAGATGTCCTTTCACCAGTGTGCACTAATCACCAGGTAACTAAGAAACAGAGGACATTTAATCTAATCTCCTTTAGGGACTCCCAGGGGGCTCAGTGGTAAAGCCTCCACCTGTCAATGCAAGAGACAGAGAAACACAGGTTTGAGCCCTTGTTTGGGAAGACTGTCTGAAGGAGGAAATGTCAACCCACTTCAGTATTTCTTGCCTGGAAAATTCTATAGATGGAGAAGCCTGGCGGGCTACAGTCCATGGGGCTGCAAAGAGTCGGACGTGACTGAGTGAGTGAGCACACACACATGCCTAGTCTTGCAAACATCTATGTCCCTGTCAATTTAGGCCAAATAAGAGTGAATGCTCAGCAACAGGTGAGCACTAATATACTGGCTTCCCAGGTGGCTCAGTGGTAAAGAAGCTGCCTGCCAATGCAACATACACAAGTTCGATCCCTGGGTTGGGAAGATTCCTTGGAGAAGCAAATGGCACCAGGCAGGCTACAGGCACCTGGAGTTGCAAAAAAGTTGGACATGACTCAGTGATTAAAAAACAGTAACAATCTCCTTTAAGATGATAGACAAAGAAACAGGTCATTATGAACACGTCTGTTCATATTCTGGATGAAATGCCAAAGGTCAAAAATACAACAAAAAATTATCACACAGATTAAATGAACTATTAATACAGGACAGGTTATTATATATTTATATGAGATAAAACTCATTATGCTCCACTTATATGTATATCACATATGCCACAATGAGGCAAGTTCATTAATGAAGCCTCAATATGCTAATTACATGTGTCACCTTCTCCACTCAACAAAATGAGTCAGATAGGATACTTTTCTTTTAATAGCCACACAGTGAGATGGGAAACAATACCCCACATCAAAACAATGAATTACAGATTTCCTTAAAAATCTTATAATTTAACATTTTAAATTATTTATAACATTAATAACATTGTATTCTCACGTTTCCATGAGGAACTAAAATATCAACAGAAAGAATAGTTCGTTCTAGTTATTACACCCATGTACCTGTTATCTGCCTCTCTTAATCTTACTCTTAAGGAATTAAAACTCCTAATGTTACTATACTGCGTGCGTGCTAAGTCAATTCAGTTGTGTCCAACTCTTTTGCAACCCTATGCACCAGAGCCCACCATGCTCCTCTGTCCATGGGATTCTCCAGGCAAGAACACTGGAGTGGGTTCCCATGCCCTATTCCAGGGGATCTTCCTGACCTAGGGATTGAACCTGCGTGTCTTAAGTCTCCTGCATTGGCACGTAGGTTCTTTACCACTAGCGCCACCTGAGAAGCCCATTATATTGTGCAATCCAATGTAAAAAGACAGGAAGTTTAAACAGTCTAAATTTTTTTTTTAATCAAGCTAAGCCATACTCTAACAAGTGTTAGTGATTATTAAGAGTACTTATTATTTTTCTAAAGAGTTTAATATTTGGGAAATTCAAGTCACAGAAAAACTGATGCGTGATAAAGTACAATCTTATACTGACCCTCTGTGGTTTAATGAAGTATAACATCAAAAAAGTTCTGTGGTTCAGGGTAATTATTACTGGGAACATACATTCCTTAAGACACAAATTCAACAAATACACCTATGACATGAATAGTACTGTGTGTACTATGAAAGTATATTTATAATACCTCATTAAGCCAGTAAGGTATTATTAGTCCCACTTTCCAAATAAGTAAACTGAGACCCTGAAAGAGAAGTTCATCTGTCTCATCTAACATGTCAGTGTGTAACAAACAGATCCCTTACTTTCACACACACACAGAAAATGCACACACTTACTTGTGTGCACAACCACACCAAGGATCTACAGGTTAATAATACCCCATATGGGGCCTTCAAAAAATACTGTAGTTAAAGACTTTAAAAAAATGCATTATACAGCCAAATAGCAATTTTCCTTCATTCAACTAAGAGCAAAAATTATATTGTGAATGTTGATGATAATTCCATGAAACTGGCACTTTCATCATTGTTGAAGGCTCTAAAAACTGGTACAACCCCTTTGGAAAGCATTTGGCAATAATCTCAAGACACAAAAAGTGTCTGTATCCTTTCCTAGTAATTCCATTTCTGGGAAGCTATCCTATGAAAATAATTCAAAATATGGAAAAAGCTATAGATTATTTATAACATTCTAGATGCTTGGCATCTGAGATTTAAATTTTGAGGCTTGGAAACTGGTAGTTCCAACAGCCTGTGAGAGAACCACAGGTTGATCCACAGCACATGTCAAGCTGCTATGTGAGTGAGGAAGCCATGTTACTGACTGGTGAGTGAGTCTGCCTGCCAGGATTAGCTTCTCCTGTGGCCTCTGCAGGTTCTCACATGCACTGACACTTCTAAAACAGGGGGCTGCGGAGGGAGGAGGAGCAGCTTTGTTAAAAAACTGTTTTTATAAGTAAAAGACCCTCAAAGAGTAAGCCAATTACCTGGCTGGTGATGAAAGTGAAGAGATCTAAGAAAGTACTGATATTTTTGGCTTTTGGATTTGTAACAGCCTTAGATCACATTTCTTTTCAATGCCATGGGCCTACTGAAGTGAAAGATTAGAAATATGATTAAAATATGATTTAATATTCACCAATAGAGAAAAGATAAATTAAACCACAATCTACCTAATTACTCAGTGGCTGAATAAGGGAAATGGAATTACAGATGATAATTTTTCATTTTGTATTTCAAAATATTTTACATGACATTAATATCACATCCACAAATAGCAAAGTCAAGATAAAAATGTACTGTTAAATATCAGAGGGAACAGTGGCTAATTTATCACATGAGGTCAGCATTACCCTGATACCAAAAGCTAAGGACACTGCAAAAAATCGAAACTATAGGCAAGTATTCCTCATTAACACAGGTGCAAAAATCTTTAACAAAACATTATTAAACTGAGTCTAGGAATAAAAAGAAGGATAATGCACCATGACTAAGTGAGGTTTATCCTAGGAAAACTGTACTGTTTAAATCTTCCTATGCATCACTTTCTGCTATTTTTCACTATATAAACTATATTAACAAACACAAAAGTTAGATCTGTTTCACTCAATATCTCTGTAAAATATTTAATAGAAAACTTTTCAAATTTATTTTAAATCTTTCTTATACTGTCACCTGAATATCTCAATTTAAAACATCTTCATTCAACAAGCTCATCCTAAGATTAGAATTAAGCTACAATTCCAACATATTTGATTTAAAAGACTCCAACATTTCTTTGAATCATTAACCCAAGGACCTCAAGTAAAAAATTTCTTCACACATCTCTGAGTGGTAGGCTCATACTGCCTTATTGTGAAACTTACTGACAAAGGATACTTAACCCCTTAAGGCAGCCTCTGTGCTCTTTTACTGAACAATTCTAACAATACAGAGAATCCTCTTTATACTACACTGAAACCTTTCATTCAACTTTTACCCACTGGTCAAACACTGACTTCTGAGGTAGGAACTGAGATTAAACCTTCCTTTACATACTTATCATGCAAGTACTTGAAAATATTAAGTCACTTTAGATTTTTCCTCTCCAGGCTAAATTAATTGTGTTCCCTTCGCCACTGTTCATAATCTAACACTACTAAACTTCACTTTTTCTTTCCACCACTTCTCGCAAAAGCCAAACATTTAAAACACATGGGTTAAAACACAGCACCAAATTCTTACAGAACATGTAGAAGACATATGGCCATCCTGATAAATTTACTGTAAGAATCCAGCCTCAAGTATCAAAATATGCTAGTCTCCCCGCTCCATAAAAACAATCTATGAAAACAGACATTTTACTCTGAGTGCAAAAACAAATGAGTTGTAAGAAACAGAAACAAATGAACACAGAACACTTAACTTTTAAGCAATGGTGTTATTAACAGTATTCTTTCATCTAGAGACAAACTGAAGCTAAAATAATTGAATCATTGCTAAAAATCATATTTATCTTTAAGATATATATAAAAAGCAGTAATTTGCAAAAACAGTATTATTCACAAAGATACATGCTGATTTGCCCAGGACTGTTAAGAAAAATACCTATGTTAGAAAACAACCCTCATTTATCCTCTTACCTTGGTTTAGCTTTGACAAAGTTTTAATTATTATCATAGTAGTATTTTACTACTCTAAAAAGTTCTGAATCCTTCAAGGCAGTTATAAAAATCATAATGCTATACTTCTTGGACTATCCAACAATATTTAAAAACTGACTTAATTGAGATGGAAAACTACGTATTACATATTTTGTGTTGGTGAATCCTCACTAAGTAAAGTCTACTAGTGGTTAGTAAGAAAAATCCACTTATGAATTACATATTTTGAAAAGAAGTTTAACGACTTTAGAATACATGGTGCCTGGAATCAAGTTTCTATATTCTGAGAACACTGGAATCAAGCCTAGAAAAGGCCTACTTTCATAAATGGGTAATTTATAGTGAGTAAATTAAAGAAACCAAGAATAAGCCGGCAAGAGTCTAAAACAGTAGTCCCAAAGTGAATTAAATGATGTATGCAAATATCATATTAACTTCCTCACGAAAACATTCCTGAAAATGTGATTTTTTTTAAGTTAATGTTTCCAAAGAGTTGATCTTCTTTTCTGTTATATCTGATGTCCCCAAATGAAGGAAAACAGTGAACACTTGGTTAGTATCTACTTCTTACCTGGAACCCACTTAATTTCCATCTCCATATCATTTTCTTTGCCTTTCTTTTCTTTGTCTTGAATAACTTGTAAGAGTTGCCTATATTTAGCAATTTGTTCTTCATCATCCTTCTGACCTTTTTTTGTTTTCCCATCTTCTTCTACACTGACTCCATCATCACCTAACAAAAAAATCAATTTCACTTAATATACAGAAATAATTTCACTTCTAACTTCACTGTTCAATCTCAGTCACTGCAGCACTCTTCTCAAAGCTGTCAGATACACTATAACAACAGAATATCAAACTCAGACTTAAACTTAACACAAAATGAACTAAAAGACTTAAATCTTATTTACAATAAAAATCAGCTGCAATGTAAGTTAGTACGGTGATAAAAGTATACTTGGGAATCTCTGTTTTTATTAAAATTCGTACTCAATATAATCCTGTAGTCATGTAACATCCTTCAATTTCTCCACCCTATAAGCAAGATAGCAGGAATGGCATTTCTTCCCCCTTTATGTCTCCTACCATCTAACACATGTATGGTCAATAAAAGGAGCCGGAGTAGTGTTGGGATCCATCTGATACATGGATTTAGCTGTTCATACTGATGACACAGATAAAGGAAGTTGCCTGTTATCTAAAACAAAGAATAACGAGTCCTCTCCACGTGATAATGAGCAAGCATGCCTACTCTCAGGGTCTCATTAGCACATAAAGAATAAAAATGAACAAATTAGAAGTTTGTGCAATTAATTTTCCCACGTGGAAAAGCTTCACATTTCCATTTCCTAGTTTTATAAAAATAATCATAATACAAAGGAACAGTGTAAAATTCATGGGCAACAAATACCAAAGAAAACTAATACGTAAAAAGTTTGTCTGCTCTGTATTTCCACTGTAATTCTCCATGTCAAAAACATAAATTAAGAACTTAGGTTTTAATGCAAAACATACAGACTAACTGAATTGAGCAAATGTCCTCAGTAAAGGGAAATTTACAGAAGACCCTCTCTTCTATGAGCTATAGCTAACTGGTCACTAAATACGCCCAATATTATTAAGCATTTAGCTGTGAAACATCAATGTTAATAGATTGTCCTTACATCTTCAAAAGGTGATGTGAAAAAAATTGGTTAAATAAATGTTTTTATAGGTTTTTTCCCTCTGAATGAATAAAAAATAGTCCACAACATTCTTTCCATCCTATCACACTTTTACATTTTCACTTGAACAGCTGAAATTCATTTTTTTCCTGTTTGTGCTTTATGCCACAATAATAATGTTGGATGGAATTCTGTCATGTATCCCGTAATTCAATGGATAAAACATCAGGAACACATTAACAAAATGGCAATGTATTTCTTTCTATTAAAAGCTTACTTCTGAAAACATAATTAGAAGCAAGCTGCTTCCAGGTTGAAATTTTAGTGGTAAGTCTCTGATGGCCTACTTTAAATTGATTTTTTCCAGTACTAAAATTTTACTTTCTGAAGCTCTAAAATGTGGGTTAACTCATGTAAGTCTGTTTTCTCCCAATTTAAGGACAATACTTTGTGAAAGACTTAATTCCATATAAGGAGTGAAAAAAAATTCTAACAGTAAGACGCCCTGGTATAATCTCTTATAAACTACAACAAGAACATCCAGTAACTTCAAAGCATTCAAATATACTAATGCATCTATCAGAGGTACTAAATTATAGATTAAGGTAAGCTTGCAATCAATTAAAATACTGAAGAAAAATGCATGTTTTTAAAAACTTAATTAGTACATTTCAAACAAAAAGCCCAATTAATCCTTAAAGTTTTAGAAGTAAAAATATATGATATGAGATAGTATGCTAAGACTTTATATAAGTTATCTCAATCTTTTCAAACAAGAGAAGGTATTATCATGATCCCCATTTCACAGCTATGAAAAGAAAGGCACTGGGGCAAAGAAAATCTAACCCAAGCCTCAAAGTTATTTTAAAAGGAAAAAAGAAAACTTCAAAGAACTGACAAATTTGCAAAGAATTACCAAATCAGAATTAAGGAGAAGATGATCATTACTGAGAGGACCCCATTGCCCTGAATGCACGTACTGGTCTACCAAACAAATAGCCCTGAGGCTAACCTACAGTTCTGGCAGTCTCTCAGGCCAATAAGACAAAAATTAAAGAACCGACTAGTACCCCATATTTAGGAGGGACCCCGAAAGATATACTCCAGGGAAAGGATCAACCAGCAGTAGACTAGCATAGAAAGACAGTAGATAAAAAAATATAGGAGAGAAACAACATGGAAGTTACAGTGAAAAGATATAATATATATTTAATTGGAGTCCCAGAGAAGGGAGAAGAAATACCTGAATAGATAATGGCTGAGAATATTTCAAAACTGATTAAAAGATACCATGCCACAAATTCAAGAATCCCTACAAACCCCAAGCATAATAAATTAAAAAAATCTATTCTTAGTTCATATGGAAACAGCAGAAAGACAAAAGGAAAGAGAAAACTTTTAAAAACAGAGAATAAAATCCAGACACCCTTCAAAAGACTGGAGAAAGTAGAGTGACAGCTGACGTCTCAAAAACAACAAAACCAGAAGCCAGCAGAATATTATCATCAATGTGGGAACAAGAGGACTGTCCACCTAGAATTTTTTTTTAATCATGAAAATATATGCATAAATAAAGGCAAAATAAGGACATTTTTAGACTAAACTAAAACTCAATTTTGGAAATTACCACAGATATACTTAAGGTAGAAAGAAAATGATCCCAAACAGAAGTATGAGATTTAGAAAAGAACAAGGAGCAAAAGAAGTAGGGAAAATGTGAGTAAATGTAAACAAAACAGTAATATTAATGTACTATGGGACTTAAAAAGTAGAGTACACAGAACAGCATGGAAGTTCTTTTTTAAGATTCCTTGTATTCTCTAGGAGGGTAAAAATGTTAATTAGTATTCAACTTTAATAAGGTTGCAAGTCATGGTTTCTAGGATGATCACTAAATGAACAGAGAGAGTCTACTTTGTAAACTAACTGAGCAGAAAAATGGTATGTAAAAAATAATCCAAAAGCTAAAAAGGGATGGTAATAATGCATTTTACTAGTTTAGGTGATTGCATAACTGTAAGAATCATGTGTAGTCTAAAAGACCAGACCCTTTTTTTGTGAGGTTAGGGTTTTTAAAAAAGTGTCTTTGGTTGAAGAAATTCAGGCTAAGAAAATATCTCTAAATAAAATATTTCAATGACTATCTACCAGTATATACAATACTGTACATGTAAGCATACTTCACAGACAATTTAAGGATTAGATACTCTCTTTCAAGCTACTGCCAAAGACATATTGTCATTAGTAAGTCTAGATTAAGTATTCAAATATTTACAAAAGTAGAATACCAAAAGACAAACAAGTACCTTGTGGTTCTTCTTCTTCTATTTCCTCTTCATCTTCACTGGAAGAAGCTAAATAGGCTTGAAAATCCATGTCCAAAAGTTCTTCCTTTTTAAACTTCCTGTTGAGTGTTGTAATTCTTTCATGATCAGTCTCATCCCAAGTGATCTCAACCTTCCACCAACGAATAAGAAAAAATAACAAATAAAAATGGAAATGTCAGCAGCCCAAACTTGTAAAGAACACTTATTGTTAACGTGGATGTTTAACAGTAAACTAATGAAGACACAAGAAAATCAATAACATATAACATGCTTAAGGCAAAAGTTTCTACCTGTGGAAAGGGAAAGGGAACCATTTCAATTAACCTGTGCCGTTATCCTAACTCTCTACTATGCAAGGCACTTCATTACTGGGAGTAAAAATTCATCAGTATATGGACTGATGAAGTGCACTAGTGAAAAAGTTAACATTATTATGAATGAGTCAAAACATGTTTTTCACCTGGAGTTCTAGGCATTTCACGAGATCTAAAAACTGAAATTTCCTGATAAAGCTTTTAGAACAATCTCAGTGTGGTCCTTTTCCCAAAAGAGATTAAAAGCCACTGATTAGAAAGGCATTTACTGGTTTAAAGTACAGGAAACCCTCATGACACGGGAATTTATCTATAATATGATCGATCTGGTGACATACTCCTGTCTTCTACAAAGCCCCCATTCTCAGAGTTTTGTTAGAGATTTAATCTCCATCACAGGGCGGGTCCCACATCCTTCCTTTTTTTCCCCTCAGGCTAATCTCCCCAGATCAGAACAAAAGGAATACTGATTAACTAAAACATCCAATCCTTAAAGTAACTGCCATTGTTGGAGAAATTACAGCTACTGCCACAATTCAGAATTATTCCCATTCTGATAATTAAGACTGAGCTGATGACCACAAAATCACTTCTGAACTGAGACAGATGTGGATGATACAGCCAGGCCATAGGAACTCCAGACTGGCTGACTGGATAGGCCTACCTATTTTTCAGGCTTGAAAATAACATGATCCTAGATTTGATGTGACTGCATCTTTCAGACCTCACTTACTGCACACTGGCGGGGTCTCCCTATACTCAGTGACTAATCAAGGCCACACGGTACCTGCAGGCTGAGGGTGGCAGATAGAGCAGCTCTCTGCCCCCAGGCTGGCCTCAGAGGAGCACAAGAGAGGCAACGAGAGGCCCGTGTGGCTGCTGCAGGGTTCAGCCGTGGTTAAGAGGTGCATGGGGCAGGAGAGCAGACAAGCAAGGCAGCCGAGTAACAGACTAATTCAATACAAATCTTCTGGCTGTTTGTTATCAAATATTAATGTGACATCGAGTAGTCCAGAATTGTTCTACTTCAATTGTTTTTACAATTTGGGGTCATATCTGCAGAAAAAAATGTGTTCCTATTTTAAATTTCCACTGCTTCTAACTATGATTTGAAGTAATGTTAGCTCGTTCCCCCTACTATGTAGGATACTAAAAACTGACATATTACTTATTAAAGAATCTAGTTAAGACTGTATAGGAAAGATAGAAGAGAAAAAAGAAACATTTGCAGGTAATTGACTCAGGCTTAAAGGCATAATAAAAATCTGGAAACAGGTTCAAATAAATGGGGTAGATAAAAATGCAAATACACCTGTGTTTCATTTCTATTTGTACTTATGCATTAAAACTTTGAATACTTTCCATTTCTAAAGATGCTATAAGTAAATAATAGTCTTTTCTTAAAGCAACGGAGTCCAGCTATATACTTTCTAAAGTGAAGAAATACCGTTGATGTTCCCATTGCAGCAGATGTGAAATATTTTGGTTTATATGCTGTTAAATCCACTTCTGAGGCTACATCCTTGGGCTCATCATCAAAAGTAATATCATCTGGTATAAACCTAAGAAACAAAGGAAAAAAATGAATTCATTTAAACATATGCTGCAGTGATAAACAACCAAAGTTTAGATTGTCTTCTAATTAAGTATAGTTTATACATACATACCACATAGAGGTTCTACAGAACACACATGCAGATGAAGTAAACAATGTTAGAAATAATCTTGGCACAAAACTTCTCAAGTTCATAAGCTATAAATCTGTAATTCCACTAAATCTAAGTGAACTCTGTAGGTAGAAACCCTGCATTAAAGAGTCAGTTAATATGAGTCTGGTGTAAACACACACGAGTCCCTCATGCTTCAAAAAGACCTAGATTCCTGATAACATAGTCACTGACTTGCTTCATGATATTCTGAAGATCAGACAGAATTATTAATGGGGAAGTACTCTGAAAATAAAGTATCATACGAACAAGACATCACTGAAATAATGAAAAGCTTAAGGCTGATTCTTCAACACTAAAAATCTTAATATTATCTTATAATTTGTCACAAATAATAGCAGTTAAATGTAAATTAGTTACTGTAACCGTGACAATTCTTAGCCATCAGACTAATGAATAGGAGGAAAAAAGCAAAGAGAAATAATCCATGGTTATTATATTTAGGTTTTGTCATTTTTATAAATTTTATTTCCACGCACACAAAAAAGCATGAGCCATATATTGCACCAAAAATGATATTTGAGGGAAGGAATGAAAAATTAAGGTTTATTAGGTCTACAGAATATCCTCCACCACATATACTTATGCACAGAATTAGTAGAAGAAACATAAACATCTGAGATCTATATTTTAAACGTTGTCAATAGGCATGATTTTGAGGCAGATGAATAGAGTTCCCTAGATAATAGGACAGCAGCAGAAAACTCAACTTTCTTTTATGAAGTTACATATGACAAAATAAAACAGGGGATGTAAGTTTTTTCCATGGTCATTGATCTTATTTTCTAGGTACTGCCAGAGGTTATTCTAACACTGCATGGAAATGTCCCAAAAAGGAAAAGAAAGAAAATGATCCTGAGAAGAACATGTAAACATGAACTCATGACAGGCAGTTTGACATTCTAATGTTTAGTAAGTATAATGAATACATTTAAAACAAGCACCTCCTTTTGAAATTATTAAAAAGAGAAGGAAACTGTTTGATGATAGGCCCTTCTTGCTATATACTTAAGCATGCTAAAATCTTATCCCAAACGATCAATTCAAAAAATTTTATTTGTATTTTTCTATGAGTCAGAATGCTTTTGAAGTATGAAAGTCAGTGAGTATCAACTGATGCATTTTTTTTTTCCCCTAAAATATTTCGTCTTGATAAGAAAGCCTCTAACAAACTTGGATACCAAGAAGTGATTTCTAGCAGGAGGGAGGTTCAAGAGGTAGAGGATAAAACAAAAAAGAACAAAAAAAGAGTCAATGATTGTGAAGCACGCTCTTAATATATTGATGTGTCTACGTATTAGTTGCTTAGTTGTGTCCAACTCTCTGTGACCCCACGGGCTGTAAGCTGCCAGGATCTTCTGTCCATGCAATTCTCCAGGCAAGAATACTGGAGTGGCTTGCCACTTCCTCCTCCAGGGGATCTTCCTGACGCAGGGACTGAACCCAGGTCTCCTGCGCTGCGAGCAGACTCTTCACCGTCTGAGCCACCAGAGAAGCCTTAACACACTGATACTTAATTTAAAATCAAAAATCTTAAAAAAAAATGATTTCTACTGACAGTGTCACACTAGAATGGTTTACTGGGTTCAAGGAACTAGGCCAATGATAACATGGTACAAGTTTAGCTTCCTGGTTTCCTTGGAACAGACATTCCCAACCATCTAAGGTTTTTCAGCTTGGGTCAGTGAAGCCTGAGCACATGGTGGAAATAATGCCCAAGTCTGAAGACAAGGCCAGCAGGACCATCTACTCATCAGCACTGTCCAGTAGAACTTTCTATAATGATGTCATCAAAGTTCTGTTTCTGTTCTGCCCAACATGTGGCCATTAAGTACTTGAAATGTGTTCAGTGTGACTAAGCAAATGAATTTAAAAATTTTAAGTTTTTAATTAAATGTAAATAAGCCAGACATGATTACTGGCTACTGCAGTAGACAGCACAGATCAAGAGACACTAGTCTATTAGCAAATTTCCTCACCTCCACCTCAATGCTTTTGATAAAGTTACTTCACTCTGATTCCTAGTTCTAAAAGACAGTTGCCAAGAAATATTACATAAAACCTGCCATCCTAGAAACACATCTGACATACCTGAAAGGACATAAATGTGAGGTGACTTCTATCTAATACTTAGCATTTTCTCATTTCAGTTTTCTTTCTTAAGAGTGATGTTCTACGAGAGCACTCTGCTGAAAGCGAAGTCCTCTTAGAAAATGGAACAGCAAGCACTGCCAATTCTAGCATCTCAGTTCTCACAGTCACATTGTGTGACAAGGTTACACTGGTACCACACAATAGTTACCTTAGATCTACAAATGAACAACTGCTTTCGAATTCCAGGCCATCACAATCCTCATAAATTTTAGCGGCTGTTTCAGGAGAATCACAGTCTACTACTGCATAATAGTATTTTAGTCGTTTGAATTGATAATCTCTCAGTTTTTCTCTAGAGGCCCTAAAAAGGGGGAAAAACTCATTAGGCTTACTTAGACAGGAACACAAATACCTCTCTCCTTGTAAAAAAGAAATGTAACCGTTCCAAGAAAAACATATTACAAACTGGCTTTTATTATAATCCATCTTCCTTTATGAACAGCCTTCTTGCCTAACATTAAATACTTAAGCGCAATTTATTATTTTGACAAGGTACAGACTAGGGATTTTGACTGGAATTTTGTATTTAGAAAACGGAAGTAAGAATTACATGTGGCTACCTATAATTTTAATTGTTAGAATAGATTATTTTTTGTTTGTTTGTTTTATTACCATATACGGCTTTCTCAAGTAAATCAACTGAAGAGGACCACTGTAGTATAACATATGCTAGAAAAGCACTAGCTTTTATTATAAACAAATACCTGACCTTATAAAACTTAATTCATGTGTTGTCAAGACTAAATGGTATTTAAGTTCAACTTACTTAACTACAGCATATTCTTTGAGGGTCTTCATCAGGTAAATAAAAATTTGCCACCAATTTTTATTACATGCACATATAGCTCCACCTAGTGGATTCAAAACTACTTAAAATTTATTTCTCTACATTATGATGATTAAGAACTTTCTCTATTATTCTTGCATTCTTGTATTTTTCTATTTAACTAAGAAAAACTATATAACTTGGAGGTAAATAGTTTCAATGCCCTTTACATAGAAATCAACATCTAAGAAAAAAAGCAAAACTTACTGATTCAGGTTTAACCACGAAGTGTTTTTCAAAACTGCAATAATTACTTTCATGAATACAGAAATATAAATATATACAGAAAATGTGTTTGGAATAGTGTGCCACTTCTGGCAGACTTTAACATTCTTTGCAACCTGTTTTAACCATGAATGGCACAAATATAAACTTTAGTTCCAACTATGAAAGTGACCAGAATTCTGAATTAGTGATACAAACTCATATGAGGTTTAGTTTTTTTTTTCTAGAGTGTTTAATACCAGTCCTTTTCAGGAGCATCTTCAGGAATGCTTAATAACTCCACTGGACCTTGAACATGTTCTTCCTTCATCCTCTCCTTTCCAAACTCCGAAGGATATATCTAAACACAAAAAAATAAGATCAAAGTAATTTATACTTCCCTTTTCTCAAAATAAACAGACCTCTGAAGGTCAGGAACTCCAAACAACTGGACAGAATGCAAACAGCAAGAATGGCACACACATACATGCTCCCGTGTGTGAAAAATGACTGGATAAATAATTTGAATTAAATCTTTGGTATTTTTTTAATCCCGGCTACTTTTGAGAGTCAGGAAATATAATCATATTAACCTTCAGTGTTTTGTTACCACCAGGCTTAATATTCATTTATTAACTAATGTATGCTTTTTTTTAGAATATTTTTTGTTTGAAATATGTAATTTATCGACTAGGGAATCCAAGTTTTTCTCACTAATCTAAGTTGCATAAAACCGGTTTTGTTTTTTTTCTCTGAAGCCGAGCCAGGTTTATTCTAATACATCTATAAATAATATTATATTTAAAAATAATTAATCCACAATGCATGTAAGATAGGATGATGCAGGGCAACAGATTTAAACCGTAACAGGTTTCAATGTAGAAGTTTTTAGCATATATGCAGTCACATATGTTGATTCTTTGTGGTTTTTCCTCTTTGTAAGTCCAGTGATTCCTACTACCCATCTCCTAAAACATAAGATTTAACAAAAACACCATTCTATTTTAATTCTGCCTATAGGTTGATTTTTAATTTTTTCCTTACTTCATCTGGTTATCATTTGGGAAAGGTGAAAGTGAAAGTCGCTCAGTTGTGTCTGACTCTTTGCAACCCGATGGACTATATTTCTCCAGGCCAGAACACTGGAGTGGGTAGTCTTTCCCTTCTCCAGAAGATCTTCCCAACCCAGGGATCGAACCCAGGTGTCCCACATTGCAGGTGGATTCTTTACCAGCTAAGCCACAAGGGAAGCCCAAGAATACTGGAGTGGGTAGCCATCCCTTCTCCAGGGGATCTTCCCAACCCAGGAATCGAACCGGGGTCTCCTGGATTGCAGGCAGATTCTTTACCAACTGAGCTATGAGGGAAGCCTTAGTTGTCCCCATGCTTCTACCCAAACCTGTAAACTTCTGCAAGTTTATAATGTTATAAAATGTTGTTTAGCCTCCAACTAATAAAAAAAAAAATTAAAAAAAAAAAAAAGAGCAACAAAAAAAAATAAATAAAATGTTGTGATCTTATAACTGATAGGGTATGCTACACTGGTATGATTTCTCAAAGACTTATGAGTCATTCTCACTTGTTTATTCTTTTAGATGACTAATGGCAACCTTTTTCTTAACTTTCATTTGCACTGAGATTTTGACTGAAACTATACTAAAACTATAGAACTGATATCTTAAATATTTAAACTGAACAACAGTAATTTAGAGTTGCTTCAGGCACTGTAGTAAATACGTCATATGATCTCCTTTTCATTGAATCCGTACCACTACCTTAAGAAATACTACTGTTGTATCTACTTAGAGGAGAAAACACATTTGAGAAATAATCAATAAAATGCACAAGATCATATAGCATGTGTCAGAATCAAGATTTGAATACAGGTCTGTCACACTGCAAAGTCTAGAGTCTTAATCACTATGTGGGCTTTCCACAAATACGGTATCTCAAGATTTTTCAATTATTATTTATCAAGTGTTATAACTTACTTCATATAGGTCGTGTTTATAAGGTAATCTGTAAGATTTTTATATATTTTTGCTGGTAGTAAAAATAGACTTTTACTTGTTAATGTTAGTAATGAAGCATTTTTAAAAAATATTTATCTTATACCCTGTCCCTTTACTGAGCTTTTTTATAATAAGCTTTTCAACTGATTATTTTGGTTTTCATAATTAAACGCAATCATATAACCGATCAATAATTTTACCTGTTCCTTTCTTACCGTCACACTTGTTCCATCAGTTTTCTGTCTAACTGTACTGGAACAACTTTCAGATTAACTATTTTCCTTAAAAGGAAAAACTATGACTATTAAAAAAAGGGATTTAACTTAAAATGCTTAGAAATATTTACTTCAAAATGAAATAAATTCTCACCTTTACAGAAAATATAACACCTCCTTTAGGTTTAAATGAATTGAACAAAGCCAGCAAATCTTTTGCCTTCAATCTATCCCAGTCCATGTTGCAAACTGCTAATCGACACGTAATCTAAAAAATGACAAAAATTACTTATTACATAATCTAGATCATTCCCAATGCTTGCAAAATTAAGATAGTAAATATAATGCCTTCTCCCCCCATCCTGAAATCATTAATGTAGTATTTATCTAAGTGATTTCTTCTCTAAGTGATTTTCTAAGATAATCACTAAGATTATCTAAGTGATTTCAGTATGTGAAAGGAAACTTCTGATGAGCCACACAACAGTAAAACTGTAAACAGAAAAGCACTTTCTCTTATTTGGTTCTTAGTTTTTGAATCAGAACATGAGGATGGGTTGATTCTTTAACTACCAAGTTTGTTAAGCTATTTTGCCACCTATGAGTGAGTAGGAAACTTTAATATATACTAATCTATAGCATTTCTAATAGGTATAGTAGGAACTGATACACACTTCTAGTTAAAACAACCATTTCCTAAAAATTTCACGACTTCTAATTATTTATATAGAAATTCACCCCTAACTGCTGGAACAGATATTAACTTTATATAGGTATATTCTGTATCAAGAAGTTTTAACTAGAATCACCATCAAGAGTATTATTTACCAATAAAGCTTTTCCTTATCAATTTAATGACAATCCTACCATCCATAACAGCTACTTGTACTCTTGACAAAATAATTTTATTTATTCAAAAGTTTACCTCATCAGCCCGAGGAGCATCTTTATCTAATTCTCTCCAAGCATGCTCAAAACCAGATTCCTCTGGAAGTAAATCTGCCATATCGTCTTCATCTTCAGAACTGGTTTCTATATTTCCTTTGCCCCTCGCAAGATCAGGGCCACTGTCACTTTCATCATTATCCTCACTATCCTCATCTTCCTCATCATTTTCAATTTCATCATCATCATCATCATCTTCTTCTTCTTCATTATGAAGATCAGCAGCAGCAGCCCTACAAATGCCTGTAATTTCATCTTCAGATTCTTCATCACTTCCTGTTTCACTAGCACTTTCTGAATCTTCCTCCAGAGCATCTTTGTCAAACATTTTACCACCTGTTGAGTCTTCATGACCATCACTGTCTCTTGCCGTTATGAATGGAACCACTGCAAAAAGGTCAAAGGAGAAATTAAGAAAATATAAACAATGAATTAAATTAAATCCAAGTTATTTTGACCTCAAATCCAGTAAAAATATAATTTCCATGAAACAGACTAAAGGAAAATATAAATTCAACAAAATTCATGCCTAACCAAATGAAGTTTTGTTAGGAGGAAGAGTAGGAACTAAGTTTATTTTAGTATCACAAGAGTGGGGAGTAATAAAAGATAACTAAAAAAAAAGCTTAAAAAGGGCATTAACCTAAGTTCTATAAATGGGATCAGAAAACTACCACAATTATGAAGGTAAATTAGTATGAGATAAACATCAGTATTCATTTTTAAACAACTTGCTTAAAATAACACCTTGGGGACACATTCCTATCTAGTATTGCAGTATTTCTTAAGCATTAGTTATTATCATACAATTTTCATGATTTTTGCCTATCACTGACATTTTTCATGAAGTTGAATGTTTTTTAATTAAAAATATTAGCCTGTTCTAAACAATATCCCTGAAGTCACAGATTTCATATATCTGTGATGTGGTGGTTACTTTTTCCCCGTAAGATGTTGAACCACATAACTATTAATATAAAAAGTTTAAATATCACCTAATAAGAAGACATCGTCTCACATTTAACAGTGGTACACATATCACATTTGGGGTTGTATAACAAACTGAACAAATTAAATAATCTAGTATTTTAATATTTTTGACAATATCAAGTATACTCGTAACATTTATTCATTCACTAAATATTTGTTCAAAGCCCACTGTGTACAAAACCTTATTTTAAATAATGAGGGAATACAAAGAAACAAAAATAAGCTAATAAATAAATAAACAATGAGGGAATGCAAAGATAACTGCCTCTGTTTCTAGATGGCAATGCTCTGGTAGTGACTGCAAATACTACTACTTACTTACCTATTTTTAAAAAATGCTTTATTATTTTTCCTCTGATTACAAAAGTAATGACTGCTCATTGCAAAAGAAAAACAAAAAAATATGGTTTAATGAAGAAAATAAAGATGACTAGTAACTTTTCATTAAGAAGTAACTGGGTGGTTATTTTGGTATGTAACTCTAAATTTGTTTCCAATGATACGCCCACTAATTTGTTTTTAAGTAGCTGGTCATACCATCTACTCAATTTTGTAACCTATTTTTAAAACTTCATGTGTCACAGACATATTTGGATGTATCGTAACTCATTTAAGGGAATCCTTGACAGCTCAGTTGGTAAAGAATCCACCTGAAATGCAGGAGACCCCAATCTGATTCCTGGTTTGGGAAGATCTGCTGGAGAAGGGATAGGCTCCCCACTCCAGTATTCTTGGGCTTCCCTTGTGGCTCAGCTGGTAAAGAATCTGCCTGCAGTGCGGGAGACCTGGGTTGGGAAGACCCCATGGAGAAGGGAAAGGCTACCCATTCCAGTATTCTGGCCTGGAGAATTATACAGTCCATAGGGTCACAAAGAGTCAGGACTGAGAGACTCTCACTTTCCCTTTCTTTCACTAATGACTTATGTTACCATTTTTAAAATTTCAAAACAGGGCTACAGTCTACGTTCTTTGCACACGTCTAATAACTTACTTAAATTCTTAAGCACACAAGTGCTGGGCAACATTTTAAAATGACATGTAATATCAAACTGTAGCTCCTCACATCACCTTTACCTCACAGCACTTAAAAAGCCCTTGGGCACAGTAGTTGCTGGAATGGTTAAGTGATTAATAATAATGAGCAAAAGATGGTGATATGTGGAGTCACTTAATCTCTACTTATAGATAATGCTTTTCCTGGATTGAGGAACCAATGAAAATTACAGCAAGCAACAAGGTGGGGCAGAAAGACTCAAAGACTTGGGTTACAGGTCTGTGTATCCTCACATAAATCACTTTAACCTTGTTTCCTAAGTAACGTAATTTCTCATGGTTATTGAGAAACTTAAGATAACATAAAATAAATCCAAAGGACTACTGGACATACTATATTAACCCAGTACTCTAAATCTACTGAAATTTAAAGGAAGCTAGACTAACTTAGCTCACAAACGTAGCATCAGGCCAACCTTGCTACTGTTCCCAATCTGATTTTATTTTCCATTTTCAGTAACCAGACTTGCATCCCTTCTCCCTATACCTCAGTTTGCTGCCAGGTTCCTCTACAAATGGAATGAAATCTCACTCCTGACCCCTTAGTCCCTGTTATTTAGAATTCTGACAACTGCCTGGTACCTCCTACCTTCCCAATGTGACCACGGCCTGTCAAGACATTTCTCTGTCTTTTTGTTGATGGCTACCCTGCTAGGGTACTGTAACCATAACCACCCTTTGTCTGGCTTATCTGAACATCACCAGCTTTCAATTACAACACCAATGATCAGCAACACCAATACTCAAAATTTCCTACTGCCAGACAGGACAATTCTGAATAGCTTAGAAAACCTGTAAACATGAACTAGAATCAGACATTTCTTACTTAGTATCAAATAATCATTTCTAGCTTTATTATTCACTCACCCCTTCAGACATCTTATTATCTAATCAAACAGGAATACTGATCTCTTCTGAATAAGCCCAACCAAACACCTGCTCAAAAAGTTCTTTCCATGTAGGATACTCTGGATTCCAAACTTAATTCTTCTAAACTCCAACCAAAACAGCACTTCACCTATGAATTTTACTGATTACTGTATCTTGAGTAACCTCCTCCTCCAAATTCTCAGAGGCCTTTTCTTCTACGGTACTTAAAATTACTCTATTATGTATTATGGTTCTGATTTCTTCCACTTTATATCTGCACTATCCAATATGGTAGCCAGCAACCACATATAGTAACTGAGCACCTGAAAAACAGCTCGTCCAACTAGATATAGTAAGAAAACAGAATGCAAAATATCATATTTTTATAGCATGTATTGAAATAGTTTTTGACATATTAGGTTAAATAGAGTATATTCATATATCAATCATCGGTTTCTTACTTTTTAATGTGTCCGATAGAAAATTCAAAATTACACTTCTATTGGACAGTACTGCTTCAGATCAGGGCTACTGCGCAATGTTGCAAGCAGTTATTTGCAAAAGCTGATTTGCAAAGGGTCAAGAAGGGCTGCAATCAAAGCCAAACTCCAATCACCAAGCCACACACCCTGCAGGAACAGCGTGTCTGTCTTTTCGGGAAAATGAACCTGTGCCTCCCTCAAAGGTGCTGTCCTCACCAGAGGACACAGCTCACAGAGCTGTGAGCTCTGGAAGCTCTGTGGGTCCAGAAGGGCGTATGTTTTTCTAATTTTTGCACAGGCATCACTTAAACTAGCAGTAGCCCTAAAATGGGAGGAATCATGTCTTAATGTTCTATCTGCCACATATTTGTTACTAAAAGTAGTTGAATAAATGAAGCAATGCCTGAGTACCCAACTCTACTTTCTTTCTTCAGATACATCTCATCTTACCCTGTCATGAGATCATGTGACACTTTATCTAGAGAACACAGCAGTCACTACTGCCCACTACAAATCAAAATCACTGGTTTAGCCTCAAGACTCAATACTTTTATTTGTCTCTCTTCTAACCATTACGGCATCAAATTAAAAATTATCTTATGGTGTATTATGTTTCATAGCTTTATACTTCCAAATAAGTATCTGACCACTCCTATACTATGAAAATAATTATACATATTTCCTTTTTAAAAGACCAGTATAAGAATAAATAATATAATACCAAAGATTCCTTAGTTCTTTCCAACCAACCTGATTGCATTTTTCTTCTTCTTGCCTCAGAATATTTGACCTTGGGAGACTGAACAATCTCAGAGGTGCCTGAGTCTACTGTTCTTAGTTGTCCTTTGGGAAACGAGTCTGTGCTATGCTGAACAGTGTTTTTTTCCCCTTTTGTACTTCTTTGTGTAAATTCTTTGCTATCTTTCTCAGGACTTACTGAGTCTATCTTCTTAGATTTGCATGAAGTTTTCATTTTCTGAATTCTCTCAGAGTTATCTAAATCATTCTTATTTCCAGAACCTTTTTGACAAATTTTCTTGTTTTTTTTCTTTTTATCTTCAACAAGATTTTTTGACTCTACTTCATTTATAGTCTGGGGTTTTTTCTTCATTTTCTTTTGACTCAGTGTTTTATTATCCTCATCAGAGAGATCCGAATCAGAATCTGAAAGGTCGTAAAAACGTTTCAAGTCCTCTGTAGTGCTGTGGTTGATGGGACGTCCTCTTTTATCCACAGCATAATTCAATTTGAACTTTTTGTCATGAAACATTGCTCGAAATCTCTTGTCAATTTTGACTTTTCGATCCTTTTCTGGCATTTCCCAAAATCTTGGGTCCTTTGCAACACGCCTAAACCGTTGGTCACTCATGATTTCTTGTTTGGATGCCATTTTTAAATGTGTAACTGGACAAATGCCTGAAGAAATCAAACACTAAAAAATAAAATCATAATGAAAGGTTAGTAATAAAATTAAGTAAGATACTTGAGAAAATACTAATTCACAATACTATATTCTAAGCTACATTAAGTAATATAAAAGAGGTCTAATTTCATTTCCCAAATGAATCTTGAGTCATATGCAGAAAAGAAAAATTATCAGAATATCTTCTTTTGAGAACAGCATTTGAAGAAATAAAACTTAAGGCAAAACCAAGCAGAATTCCAGGTTTTCATGGAGGGAGGCAAATGATCACTAGCCAACTGCCCTCACTTAAATATCCCATATTTCCACTTTATATTTGTATGCGTTACAAGTAAAAGCTAATATGATTAAAATATCCTTAAGTCTCAGTCGGTCTTATTTGTTTCTTCACATTATGGTCCCATTCTCTCCATTAATCCTGACTTCGTTTTGTTTGGAACAGCCTTTACTTCGACCAGGCTGTACTGAACAGAATGAATTCAGGTTTAGCTCACAAAGTTCCCCCTTTGTATACGACCACCCTTCGTGAACCAGGTAAAGCCTCTCTCTAGTTAACAAATACAAAGTAGCAGTGCTTTGTTTCAAAAGAAAGGCTTGGCTATGACGCAACATTAAACATCTGACCCTCAGAACAACCTTATGAGGTAAACATTTCATTCAACTATCAGACGTAAAGCGTATAGATGTTCAGAACGAAAGCACTTGACCTCCGCCAGATATTCGGAGACAGGAAGGCGACCTGACCTCACCTCGGTCGCGCGCCCTCATCTCCGGTGCCCACCTGCCCCTCCTACCCACCCGGTAACGCCGGGAACACCAGGGAGCGAGGACCTCCTTCCCAGCTCCCAAACCTCAGAGAGCCGCTTCGGGGCTGAAGTCCCTCAACACGACCTGGAGGAGGAACAAAGAAGCTTGAAGAGAAGGGTCGGAAAGGCAAGGAGGAAGAGCGCGGCACTTGTACACCCGAAGGAGAATCTCTGGGACACTGGCTCTGTCCCTCGTCTCCTGGAGCCCTATTCCACTCACAGACTCCGAATCCTCTCAGTGCGTCACATGGGGCACCCCACACCCACAATCCTCTGCGAGACACACCACCGTGATGGCACGCGAACTGGGCCAAACTTCCTCCGCTTTCCCTCCGCGAAGTACTCTGGCGTCTTTGCCCTAGCCTCGGCGCATGCGCTCGATAACCGAGCCGGCTAGGGGTGTAGGAGCTGGAGATGGCTCTGCTCACCCCGCTTCGGTTCTCGTGGCGGCAGCTGCCGGCGGCCGGGGTCCCCGTGAAGAACTTCGGCCTCAGGACGGTGGCCTCTGGCGCCTCTTTCCCGAGTGGTGGTGGCTCGCCCAAAGCCTTCAACATCTTCGATCGGGATTTGAAGAGGAAGCAAAAGAACTGGGCGGCCCAGCAGCCGGAGCCGATGAAGTTCGACTACTTGAAGGAGGAGGTGAGTCTGCGAGACGGCGCGGAGGGTGGTTCAGCGCCTGGACTTCGGGTCCCGGAGCTCCGGCCAGGACCCGAACGCCGCCACCTCGCCTTGTGACCTTGAGCGGCCGCCCTGCCTGTCTGGGCCCCTGCTGTAATCGCGCAGGGCCGGGCGCCGGTGTTTGCAAGGTGCGATTCATTCATTCATTTATTCATGCCCTTGGCAGATAGTATTAGTACTTGAGTTACAGGTATACCCGGGGCAAAGCAAGACCAATGCCCTCAAGAGATTTCATTCTTGTGAAAGACGAGACAGTAAACAAAACAGGTAATTTCAGCTAGTGAAGTAAGGCCAGGTAGTGGAGTGAATTCTTAAAGTGACTGCGCTGATCGGGGGCAGACGACGAGACAAGACTTCAATCAAACTGGGATCTGGGGGATGTCGGGGGAGCCTTGCAGGTAACGGGAAGGAGGAACCCAGAGGCCCTGAAGCCCAAAGGGCCTTGTCAAGGCCTCCAGGAAAGCTCCAGTGGCAGGTAAGGGAGTGTCCAGGTCAGGAGGGCCTTACTGGGTAAGAACTTTGGATTTTCTTCTCTCTCTCAGCTGTACGTTCCATGTGGTAATTTCTGGCCACATGCAGCTTTTGAGCACTTGATATGTCCCTTTAAGATGTGCAGTAAGTGTAAAGTACAGTGGGTTTCAGTGAATTAATATGAAAAAAGGATGTAAAATATTTCCTTAATATATTTTTATATTAATTACACGTTGAAACTCTATTTTGATATTTTGGGTGAAGATCAACTTCTTTACTCTTTTTAAAATGGCTACTAGAAAACCTTTGGAGAAGGGCATGGCAATCCACTTGGCTGGAGAATTCCATGGACAGAGGAGCCTGGTGAGCTACAGTCCACGGGGTCACATAAGAGTCGGACACGACTGAGCGACTAACGCTTTCAACACTTTCGCTAGAAAATCTGAAGTTGCTCATGTGGCTCTGATTGTTTTTCTATTGGCCAACATGGCTCTAGAGTCTAGAGGAATGGGAGGCTGTTGAATGGTTTTCAGCAGTGAAGAGATGGGATCTGGTTCATCTTTTAGGAAGATTCATTAAGATGAATTAAGATCTCTGATTTGTCTGTGCTGATTTGAGAGACCTCTTCCTCTATACCCAGGTGGACTAGGGACTTGAGCCGGTTTCTACTCTCTGGACAGGCAGCACAGAGCTCAGGCCTATGTAAGTGCTTCTTCAGGGATAGACCAAAATTGAAATCAAGTGTGACGAGCTCTTTGAAGCCATTGCAGCCAACACTTCCTGAGCTCCTACTCTGGGCAGAACCCTCTGCAGGTCCTGGCCAGATCAGATGATTGACTCTGTTCTCAGGGTGACACATATAAATATTTAGAAGATGTGAGTTTCCAGACACTCTTTTCCAGGAAAGGCACCTGGATTACAACTTGACTGAGGCCTCACCATTGTTTAGGACTAGAATAAATGAGATAAAGTATATGAGAGTCTGTTAAAATAATAAAAGGTTTTCATATCAGTAGTGATGCACAAAGTGGACTCCTCTGGGAGTCCACTCCCGCTTCCTCCCCGACTCACTTCCCAAAGAAAATACACATATATTCTGTTCTGAACTTTCAAGTCCTAGTAGAGACTCTGCAGTGTTTACAAGGGGATGAGTGGAATGTGGGGAATATTATCTCCCACATCTTTATTCCTGCTGCATGAACCTAGCCCAGCAAAAGCCTCATGACCTCTTTTAAACTGGATTGGGATTGAGGAGGTTTCTTTAAATGTGGCAGACTTCTAATTTGCAGATGTTGGCCAGAAAAGTTATTTATCCATTTAGGAGTTCCACAAAATTTGTTAATAGTTACCAAATAATTAGTTTTTGTTAAATGATCACTTATACATTGATCTGTAATAATCCTCAGCTAACTAATTTTTCACTTTCACGTATCTCACACTAGTATCTGTGGACGATATGCTTGTTATGTTTCTGTTGCCTTTTTTTTTTTTAAATTGGGGTATCCTGTTGCTTTTTGTCTTTGCACTCTTGCAGCACATGAACTATAAAGTCATAGATATACAGAATTTAGTCTTCTTTCCTTAAGTTGACGTCTGAGGTAATTAACTCAATGTGTTTCCTTGATTATTTTTATGATGTTCCTATTCAGAATTTTAAAAGTTGCTGAGGTCAAATTGAAAAAGGGATAAAGGGAACACAACATGTTGAAATATAAGTAGCCTATGGATTGTTGATTACTGGGAAAGTGTTAACTTCTCTGTTAAACATACTCATCTTTACTTTTGTACATCATTCATTGCCTCTTGTAATCTGTCAGGTTGGAAGTCGGATCGCAGATCGAGTGTATGACATAGCCAGGTAAGTGATGACTATCATAATAAAATACAATCAGTTTCCCTGGTGGCTCAAATGGTAAAGAATCTGCCTACAGTGTGGGAGAGCGGGGTTGGATCCCTGGGTTGGGAAGATCCCCTGGAGAAGGGCATGGCAACCCAGTCCAGTATTCTTGCCTGGAAAATCTCATGGACAGAGGAGCCTGGCGGGCTGCAGTCCATGGGGTCATAAAGAGTCCGACATGACCAAGCGACTAACACTTTCACTTTCGGCACAACTTTTGGAGACTTGAAAAGTTAAATGCTTTCACTTTCACAGGTAGCAGAAACCCCTGTTACATAGTGGCTTTGCTATAGAATTGCTCTGTGATATTAGCAAATCACTTTTTGTGCTTTTCTTTGTGAAAGATATCCATTAAATTAGACCAATATGAGATGAATTTATAACATTTGTCTATTCTTAGAAAGGGAAATGTTGCTCTTTTGCTCGTCTGAGGGGAGGGCCGTTGGCAGGGGCCCGCGGCATGCCGCTTCAGTGAGGGGGCTCGACAGTGGTCGCCCGGCTTGTTGCTTTTCTGGTCGCCACTGCCCCGGCCGGCCGGACAAGAGCCGCCAGTAGCGCGGCACCGATTCCTCTCGGGCTGTGGGCGCTGCTCTGAGCAGCGTCATCCTTTATACCAGAAAGCTGGCGGGCACTATGGGGAAAAACAAAACAAGAAGAAAGTGGAGGAGGTGCTGGAAGAAGAGGAGGAAGAGAACGTGGTGGAGAAAGTCCTAGACCGCCGAGTGGCGAAGGGCAAAGTGGAACACCTGCTAAAGTGGAAGGGGTCCTCAGATGAGGATAACACATGGGAACCAGAAGAGAACCTGGGCTGCCCTGACCTCATCGCTGAGTTTCTGCAGTCACAGAAGACAGCACACGAAACAGGTAAATCAGAGGGAGGCAAGCGCAAAGCTGATTCTGATTCGGAAGATAAGGGGGAGGAGAGCAAACCAAAGAGGAAGAAAGAAGTCAGAAAAGCCACGAGGCTTTGCCTGGGGTTTGGAACCAGAGCGGATTATTGGAGCTACGGACTGCAGTGGAGAACTCATGTTCCTGATGAAATGGAAGGACGCTGATGAGGCTGACCTGCTTCCTGCCGAGGGAGCCAATGTCAAGTGCCCGCAGGTTGCCATATCCTTCTATGAGGAAAGGCTGACGTGGCATTCTTACCCCTCAGAGGATGATGACAAAAAAGATGACAAGAATTAACTTTCTTGAATACCAGCCCCTGTCACATCTGACTGTGGGTTTCAAGTGGGGAAGGGAGGAGTTCTACTCGTCTTGACTCCATAAAGGTGGCTGGAGAAGATGTCCTTTGAAGAGCCAGTATAGTTTCTGTGCCCTGCAGCAGCCCGAGTGCTTTAAAGCCGTTCCATGCTGTATAGTTTGCACACCCATCCCGGTGGAGGGAAAGGAGGGTCAGTGTTTCAAGGCAACCCGCTCTGAACTTTGCTTAAAAAAAAAAGCAAAGGGCCTTCTCTGAAGGACAAAATGCAGAATGGGATGTGGGAGAGAAAGAGATACTGTAAATCTTCAAAGAGCATCTCCACAACCCACTCAGCCTTCTTCCCGATAATGTTAACTCTGCATTTTTACAGCGTAGCATGTGTGTAGTTTTTGGCTATTACTGGTGTATTATTTGGGGTGGGTGGGGTGGGGTGGGAAAGAAGGGAGATGGGTTAGGATCATTTTTGTTAAAATTTGGGGAAATGGTGAAACAAAAGAACAACTAATGATGATTGGGTTCTGTGTCCAGAATATTGTATCCTTTCAAAAAATGTCACTGGCAACCTAAATGAGGACTGTGAGAGACTGTTTGAAAGCTGTGAATGCCTGAAACTTAGAAGCCAAGGTATTCCCTGCCTGAGCTTGATGCTATTCCCAACAAAGGACTAAGAAGCTACCAAAGCTGCCATTTGGGGGATGGAAACTGGTTGAGGAGGAAAAGTCTTATTGGAGTGTATACACAGATCATTCTGTCTTAGAGGTGCTGCTTATGAAATTGACAAGAAGACCCTTTCTTTTCCTATTGTGAAGTTACCAATATCAGCATCTCCATCCAAGCCACTGGGGAAGTATTTAGGGAAGGGCAGAGAGTGGCATAGGAGGTAAGCGAGTGGGGAAAAACAGAGCTGGTGCTCATAGGGTGGAAAACTCTTGGAGCCTCTGTTTTTTGAACTTTTAAACCATTGGTGGCAGGGTTCAGTCACTGACATTTCAAGTTCAAGAGTTGAATGATTTCAAAAGCCCTGGTCTCAGGAGGAGATTTAATTTCATACCGGGGCAGTGGTTCACTTTAAAACAAAACAAATTTTTTAATCCTAAGAATCAACTAAAATCCAAAACACTGTCTTGAGTCATGAGATCCATCAGTTGTTGACATCGTCTTGACCTGCATCTAGAACTCCATTGTAATTTTTAGGCGTGTGATAGGTTTTTGTGAAAACTTTTGTTTAAATGTAAACTTCATATCAACACTGTCAGTTTTTGTCTTAATAAAACTATATAGATTTATAAAAAAATAAAAAGGGAAATTTTGTAAAATTGCAAACTCTTGCTATCATATTTTAGATATATCCTGGCTACTTGAAAGAGTCATGGGGTGAATCAGTTTCATAAAATTAAAGAAAATTCTTCATTGTTGCAAAAACCACCTTCATTTAATCTGCTTCATTAGTTTCATTATTTTAAAAATCTGAAAAGTAGCTAATTCTTTATGGTGTAGTCATTCATTTGTCTGGAGAAGGCAATGGCACCCCACTCCAGTACTCTTGCCTGGAAAATCCCGTGGACGGAGGCTGCAGTCCATGGGGTCGCGAAGAGTCGGACGCGACTGAGCGATTTCACTTTCACTTTTCACTTTTCACTTTCATGCATTGGAGAAGGAAATGGCAACCCACTCCAGTGTTCTTGCCTGGAGAATCCCAGGGACGGCGGAGCTTGGTGGGCTGCTGTCTATGGGGTTGCACAGAGTCGGACACGACTGAAGTGACTCAGCAGCAGCAGCATTCATTTGTCTGGATTTTAGGTCATTTGCAATTTAATAAATGAAACGTTAAACTTTCCAAATCAGATTGAATTTTGTAATCTTTCTATGTCATAATACTCAGCAAAACACAAGTCTGTGGAGAGGACTGTGATTGCAGCTAAAAAAGCATGTCTTAAAATAACAGTTAACTCTTTGGAATTAAATTATTAAAAATATCAATCTAAAATGTCTTACACTGATCTATTATTAGCAAGAATAGCTTATTGTCAACATTGATCTTATGTTCAGATTTTAAAACTAACACAGACGATTATTAAATGTCTTATTTGTGCTTTCTGAGGCTCACTTAATACTGTTACAATCCATGATAATAATATTAGTAACTCCTAACTAACTGTTGTTGAACATTTGTACTGTGCTAAATACTTTACATGCTGGATAAAATTCTCTTACCAACCGCATTTTATAGATGGGGAAACTGAGATCCAGCAAGATTAAATCTCTTGTCTGTAGTCACAGAGCCAGTAAATTGCAAGCCTAGAATTCTAACTCATGTCTTTGTGATTGCAAAGGCTGTATGCTTTCCCAGGCCACACTGCTGTGTTCACAGTCAAGACACAGGACATTAGGTATATTAGATGTTCTCTCACCAGTGGTTCTCCAGCTGTGTACTGGTGTTCTATACTTGTGACATAGGTTTTTAACAGAAACTTCAAAGGAACTCTCAGTTCCAATAGGAAAAGTTTTATTAGTGCATGAAGTTTCTTTAAAAATTGTCACAAATTTTTCATAAACCTATGATCCACAATTGGATGTGTAAAGTGATTTAGTGTGAGATGATATGTTTGGAGGAGACAGCATGGCATAGTGGATAAGAGTTCTGGTCAGGCTTGTTTCTGACTGAATTCAAGTCTGAGTGCTGCTTATTAGCTGAATGACCTTGGACTGACATAATTAACTGTACACTTAGCCCACTGCTTTGAACCTGATAAGATTTCATAAAAGTTAGCTGTTATTTAGTTGATGGTTTGTTTGGGTTTTAGTTTATCATGTTATATTTCATAGTATTTCACATAGTAATTTCTAAGTTGTCTGCTGCCTCAACAAATTTGAGAAATAGGGATAAGTAGTAAGTTCCTGATAGGTATGCCACATATTTTCATGTTAATTGCATTAACTCTCTTCATTCTTTGAGTATATTATCAGATTGAAATTGTTGTTCAGTCACTGAGTCGTGTCTGACTCATTGCCACCCCATGGACTGCAGCACACCAGCCTTCCCTCTCTTCATCATCTCCTGGAGCTTGCTCAAACTCATGTCCACTGAGTTAGAGATGCCACCCAACCACCTCACCCTCTATCATCATCTTCTCCCCCTGCCTTCAGTCTTTCCCAGCATCAGGGTCTTTTCTAATGAGTCAGCTCTTCACATTGGGTGGCCAAAGGATTGGAACTTCAGCTTCATCATCAGTCCTTATAATGAATATTCAGGATTGATTTCCTTTAGGATTGACTGGTTTTATCTCCTTGCAGTCCAAGGGACTCTCAAGAGTCTTTCTCCAACACCACAGCTCAAAAGCATCAGTTCTTCAGCATTCAGCCTTCTTTATGGTCCAATTCCTATATCCATACATGACCACTGGAAAAAACCATAGCTTTGACTAGACGGACCTTTGTCAGCAAAGTAATGTCTCTGCTTTTTAATATGCTGTCTACGTTTGTCATAGCTTTTCTTCCAAGGAGGAAGCATCTTTTAATTTCATGGCTGCAGTCACCATCTTTAGTGATTTTGGAGCCCAAGTATGTCACTGTTTCCATTGTTTCCCCATCTGTTTAAGTACCTGCACTAAATCAGTTCTTCAGATCCATGTCGAGGAGCAACCTTGTGGAAAGCCATTCATTGTGAGGCCCTGGGAGTGGCTTGGCCAGACAGCCTTGCCATTTCCAGTGTGTTCTCTGATGGAGACATCTGGTGAGGTGAGGGAGCAGGCAGATGATAGGACTTCTTTGAAAGTTGTGTTCACGAGAATCTTTTTTCTTAAGAAAAATTTGTTTTTCATAATTACTTTATGGGCTGTATTATTATAGACAAAGCATAACTTCTGTGTCTGTTTTTCAGAGATTTCCATCTTGCTTTGGATGTTGGTTGTGGAAGAGGTTACATAGCAGAACACTTGAATAAGGTATATTTATTCAATGACTTAATTTACTTGGAGAAATAAAATTGACCAATTTGGAGGAACAGCTTGCTTAATTCAGTTTGTTTCATATTTAGATTTTGATGACATCAGAATTGTTCATTTGTTTTTTTTTAATTGCTTTTTTAAGTGATAGAACCAAAGGTTGTTTTATGTCTACTCCTGTGTTTTTTCTTAAATGAGTTTTTTCTTTGAATCCATTTTATACAGTGTTCCCACTGGTAGTTTCTCTAAGTCTATATACAATACATTGTGTGTTATTCCCACTTTGTTCAAATTTTTTTTATAAATCACAATAAAAATCACATTGACATTCATTTGGGACATGTGATTAAGCTTATTTTTTTATTTATGGAAAGTATTTACTTCATCATTTGGTTAGACATTTTTGTGTGTAATTAAATATAAATAGTCTTAATTAATGTCTATAGTATTTTATTTTTCATTTTGTAATTCAGACCAAAAAACATTCATTAATTGTTTTAGCCTCTCTATATAGAACACTATGCTGAACACAGATCAAAGTGGGATTTCTATATCAAATCTACTTACGAAAAAGTGTACACTTGAGCCAAGATAGGGGAGGGGTATGTGATGAATCTCTGAAAATACTATAACTGATAGTAATAAATGCCATGGAATTGGTACAATCATTAAACTGCAACAGGAGTGAAGGGAAAGGAAAAATCAGTGGAGTTCATATGACCAGAGACTTCTGAAAGGCACAAAATCTGATCCAAGATTTGATAGAATCTGGATTGGTGCTCATAGCGACTGGAATTTAAGGCATGGCTGGAGGGAAGGCGGCAGTGGAAAGCTGTCGGGTGTGATCAGCAATGCTTAAGGAAGGTTAGTTTGGGGATGGTGTGCAGGAGGGATTGAAGAAGACAGAGTATAGAGAAACGGACCAATTAGAGGGCTGTGTCAAAGGCAAGTGTAGGCGTGAGAGAGAACGGCCAGGAAAGCAGGATATAAAGGAAGGGGTGTAGAGAAGACCTGGTAGGATCTACAGACCGTGGTGGAACAGGTAAGCTCTCTGGGGCCAGGGTATAAAAGGGAACCTTCCACACTTGTGTTTAGGGGTGGAGGAATGAGGAGGAGCCAGCAAAGATGCCTGGAAAAGTAAGTAAGATGGGCGTGCATGCTAAGTTGCCTCAGGGTGTCTGACTCTATGACCTTACAGACTGTAGCCCGCCAGACTTCTCTGTCCATGGGACTCTCCAGGCAGGAATACTGGAGTGGGTTGCCGTGTCCACCTCCAGGGGATCTTCCCGACCTAGGGATTGAACCCACATCTCTTATATCTCCTGCATTGGCAGTTGGGTTCTTTACCACTTGCGCCACCTGGGAAGCCCAGTAAGTAAGATGGCAAGTGTCTTAATAAGACACTTATTGTAAGTGTAAGCAGAAGATTGTAAGATGAAGCAGAAATCCACTGAAGCCAGTTCGAATACTAGGACATTCATTGCTTAGAGGCTCTTGCACTATTCAAGGATCTGGAAGCACAGCCAGGTCTCACAAGGGTGGGGACTTCGACACATCAGAGTGGAGGTCCTGTTCACGTGCTCCATGGCTGGCTTCTCCCTCTGCCCGCCCCCCGCCCCACGGCCTGTCCCTGGTGTCCTTCAGGCAGAGCATGAGATCGGAATGTGAGACCTGGACTCTGAGTGTGCTGCCCCTGCCTCCTCCTGACTGGTGAGCACTGGCTGTTAGCATCTTTTCCCCACTCTGTGTTAGGGACATTGTTTCAACAGCTTCAAGTCAGCCATGGTGGGAGTTATACATTAGGGAGGTTGGCAAACGCTACAAAGCAGGGCCCGCCCAAAGCCAGCTGTTACACATTCACCAGCCTTCCCCTGAGGTCTACACGCTCCACCAAGTCTGGGAGCGGCCGCCCCATCTCCCAGTCTCTTAATTGAAATTTTCAAGTGAGAAACAAGCAGAGATGATCTGACCCACCTAATGTTCACCCCTCGCGCTGAGGTGCTGGATCTGGCTTTCGAGACAGACCGCTGTGCACCTCTCTTCCCAGTGCCCCGCTGACAGCTTGTCTTGGTAGAGTGAAACCCACCATTGTCGGGCTGGTTGCACCATGGAAATCATCAGGCCCTGCAGCTCAGGACACTTTTCTTTTTTTTTTTTTTGAGGGCCGTAGTTAAACATGTACCGCATACCAGTTGCCCTCTGCTCATCAGCAGCCTCCAGATAGTGGTAGGGTGTTGAGGTAAGGTAGCCTCTCCACGTTGTGGGCAGGCACCTTCTTCTCGAAGTGGGTAGGGTGAAGTAGAGAGGACTGGCGTTTCTCACAGAGAAGGGAAAGCAGGGCAGGACAGAACTGGGGGTTTCTAGGGGGCCGTCAGGAGTGCTGAGCCTCTCAGAGGTCAAGTGCAGTAGGACTGGGAGCAGGGGGAACAGGCGGCTATAGCTGTGAGTAGGGCAGTGAGGGTGGAAATAGATCACCGAGAATCTAGGGGCACTCCGCGAGAAGTAGTGCTGTGGCTTACAAACAGGACAGCGTAAGGTGGGTGGAGGTGGGAGTTTCCAAGATTGGGAAGCTTATTCCCATTGTAAGGTGAGGGGAGGAGAAGCAGGAGAGAGACTGAAGACTGGAGAGGTAGGGGAGGAAAGAGCAGGTTCCTGGGGAAGCGAGAGCACGGTGGAAAGTGGCCATCTCAGCAAGAAGTATCGTGGTGCCCTTTGCTTTGGGAGGGAAGAAAGGATGCGTGAAACAGAGGGGCGTGCAGCCACCGAGGCCTCCCAAGCATCTGTGTTTGTTAGGGCTTTCTTTACTCTTTGCAATCTCTTTGTTTTTTTTTTTTTTTTGGGGGGGGTGTTTGCAATCTCTTTGAATAACAGCCAAAGGCAGGAAAACCATTCCAGATCTTCTGTGTCACAAGAATGAGGACTAGCTCTTAGCGTATTATGGAAAAGTTAACACGTAAAACCTGAACCCAAAGATGCTGATTATTCACACCTATGTTCTCTATTTTATTAAATACTGTTAATATATTACATATAGGGTTGGCTGCATAGATTTAATTCTGTGTAACATAATATATGTTATTAAAGGTGTTTGTCTACCATACTAATTATATGCAGAAAAATACCCTTACAGAGCTGAAAAATAATCAAATTATCACTTTTTCCTTCAGCAGTTTCAACAGTTGTTTTGTTTTATTTGTTACTGGTTTCTTTTGGTTGCCTGTCTTTTTGTATTATCTAATCAGCTTTATTGCATTGCAGGAAACTGTAGGAAAGCTTTTCCAAACGGACATTGCAGAAAATGCTTTGGTATGTAGCTTTTCAATACTATTGATTTCTGATCTCCTGGTTTGGTTTTTAGTTCTTTACTTTTTATTTTTGTTTCCTTCGGAATGAAGTGAGCTTTTTTTTTTTTTTTTCTGATTATACTACAAATGAAGAAGAATTAAACAGTATAGGAAATCTAAAGGGAAAGGAAAAATCACCATTAATCCCACCACTCATAGACAACTGCTGGTGACATTTTCATCTGTGTCTTTGTAGATATATAGCTGTGTCCCCATCACAGCTTTATATAAACAGTATTATGCTAACATGCCATTCTTTTGTTTCAGTGATAGATGTACACACACATGTAGTATTCCAGTGTGGGAATATTCCATGCTTTATTTACTAAATTTCTAGCTTCTCAATAACCAGCACTGCGGTGAGCATCTTTATATAAAGCAACTTTCTGTGTTTGATTTATTTTTCTCCCTGGGAATACACTCCCAAGAGTGGAGTATGTGGACTCATTGATGTTCACCTTTCAGTTTTTAATATCCATCTCTAGACTGCCCTTTGAAGACAGAACAACAGCTTTAAATGAAGGCCCTCTTTCTTCCTTCTCGTTGGCAACAACAGGCCAATTATTTTGTCTCTGTCAGTCTAATAGGTGGGAAGTAGAGTTTTGTCCTTTTTATTTGCATTTCTCTGATTGCTTAGAGCAACCAGACAGCTGTTGATATCTTTCGGCTGTGGGTATTTTTTAATCTGAATTTTGTCAGTAGTTTTGTGATGTGCCTGTCCCTTGCTCCTTTCTCTACCTGGCTGTTCTTATGCTAGGTGGTTTGTAAGAACTTGTCTTCTGGGATATTCATTTTTCTTTGTGTATTTTGTAAATTTTTTCCCAAATATGTTGTTTACATTGTTTAATGCTCTTTAGAAGTTTTTGATCGGTTTATCATTAAGCATATCGCTCTTTCCTCTTATAGTTTCTGGGTTTTGAGTCATGTTTACTTTGGCATTTTCGTCTAAGAATCTGAAGTGTACACCCATATTTTCCTCATACTTTTTTGCCTTTGGTTATTCCACTGAGACTTTCAGCTTTCTGAGGTTTGGTTTGGTGTGATGTGGTTATCCCATTTGTTTTTCCAAACAGCTAGCCATTTTTTCCAGCCAATCTTAAGTGTCATTTAAGATATATTTTTTAGTGCTTTCTCTTTGGCTGCTTTTTTAATTTTTAAGAACTAGAAACTTTCAAGTAAATATAACATAACTTATGTTTAACAAACAATGATTGTGTTAATAATTAAGATGTTATATAAATGTGTTTTTGAACTTTTATTTTTAACCTTTAGAAAAATGCCTTAGAAACAGAAATTCCTACTGTCAGTGTTTTAGCTGATGAAGAATTTCTTCCCTTCAGAGAAAATACATTTGACCTGGTGGTTAGCAGTTTAAGGTTGGTAATCCATTTGTACTTTTAAAAATATATGTATGTTAAAAATAGATACGCATGTGTGTGTGTGCCAAGTCGTTTCAGTCATGTCTGACTCTTCGCGACCCCATGGATGGTAGACCGCCAGGCTCCTCTGTCCATGGGATTCTCTGGGCAAGAATACTGGAGTGGGTTGCCATGCCCTCTTCCAGGGGATCTTCTGACTCAGGGGTCGAACCTGCATCTCTTCTGCATTGGCAGCTGGGTTCTTTACCACTAGTGCCACCTGGGAAGCCCTCAAATTAGGTATATTATTCTCTAAAGTTATAAAGTCATATTAAAGGTTTCTCCTATAGCAAAAGGAAGGTTATCCCCTAATATTTTTATTTTAAAACTTATATGAAAACAGTCAGTGAATTTTTTTTCTTAAGGAGTTTATTTTTTGGCCACTGAATTCAGGATCTTAGTTCCCTGAGCAGAGATTGAACCTGGCCCCCTGCATTGGGAGCATAGAGCTTTAACCACTGGACTCTACCAGGGAAGTCCCAACTATCAGTGAATTTTGACGTGCAGTTTCAAACATGCAAATTTACACCTTTTCTGTGGCTTGCTATATTAGTGATTCTTGTACTAATTGGCTATACAGATTAAGTTAAAACAAATATGTGTTTTCGTATTTTAGTTTGCACTGGGTGAATGACCTTCCTAGAGCACTTGAACAGGTAAGAAACTTAGTGCTGTTTCTAATAGCCTGTGTTATTTTGTTTATTATTAGCAAATTATAGACGTGCCTATTTTTACACTGAAACTTATAGATGGTTTCTGTTTCACATTTTTGACAATTGGAAATGGAAGCAAATCAAAAATTTATTATCTTCTGTGGGCTGGATACACTTGGTACCCTTTGCCATGTTAGAAAGTATATGGGTGACTCCCCGCTCCCAGAGAATTCTATAAATGTAACAATAGAGATGTTACTAAAGTTTTCATAAATATTTAAAACTTATTCAAAATAGTATTGCTATCATAAGAAATTTTATGTGTGGCATTCTTTTCTTCCTTAATTGTCTATAAATTTTTTGTGAGTAGGAGCCCATGCTTCGCCCATGCTTTATACTAAGACATTGCTGATAAATGTCTGTTGGTTGATATTTATCAGCAAACAGGTAAAGAAGGGGTGGGTAAAAAGCATTATGTTCAGAGGAGAGAAGGCGATCACTGTGGCTTAGAGTGGCCTAGGAAAGCTTCACGAGGAAGAAATTTCTTGAACAAGGCCTCAAAGGACAGGTCATGTTAGGAGTGGGCATGCATTCCAGGTAGGCAGGATCCTGGATAGATGGGATGTGTGAGCGGCCGAGAAGCCCAAAAGGACAGAGAGGAAGCCTGGGGGAGGAGGTATAGTGCCAGGTGTAGATGAGGGATATCGGGACCAACTTTAGAGGACCCAGTGACAGGGTAAGCAATTGAGAGTTTATTCTTTATGCAGTTCAGAACCACTAGCACATTTTGAAGAGGAAAGTGACATGACTAAAAAGCTGGTAGGCAGGAGAATAACTACTGTATCTTACGCAGGTACGGTTTGCCAGTCACTCTGCTCTGTTCCATGTATGTGTGAAATAACTCTGCAAGACATCTCCATCTTGCTGATTAGAAAACTGATGCGGAAAGTCGGTTAAGCTGGAGAGAGACCGTGTCCGTGGTCCAGGCATGAAATAAACTGAACGCAGGTGGCAGCTGTTCCGTCGCTCAGTCCTGCCCGACTCTCTGCAGCCCCGCGGACTGTGGAGATAAAAGGAAGAGAGGGGTCCTCAGGACTCTGCAAAGTAGGAATCAACAGTTTGGTGGCTGGTTAGAGCTGAAGATCGAAGAGAGTCAGGAGTGAAAACTTGCCTTCAAGTTTTGAGTCTGGATGACTGGAGATAATTAGTAAGAGTAGGGGAAAAGAAAACCCACTCCAGTACTCTTGCCTGGAAAATCCTATGGACGGAGGAGCCTGGTGGGCTGCAGTCCATGGGGTCGCTAGGAGTCGGACACAACTGAGTGACTTCTCTTTCATGCATTGGAGAGGGAAATGGCAACCCACTCCACTGTTCTTGCCTGGAGAATCCCAGTGACGGCGGAGTCTGGTGGGCTGCTGTCTATAGGATTGCACAGAGTCGGACACGACTGAAGTGACTTGGCAGCAGCAGGGGAAAGAATGGTAATGATCAGATAAAGGGACTAGAAGATGGTAATTAACAGAAATAACAGCAGCTGGAAAGCGGAGTTGGTTTGAGAATATGTGTTCTGTGTATGTTGGATGCCGTGGGGAAGAGCAGGGGGTACGTTTGCCAAGAGACAAATGTCTATGGCACTGGCAGCCAAAAGATAAATATAGGATCCTGGGAAGCTGTCCAGGCTCAAGGTAGAGGTTGGGAAGTCATTCTTGTGAAACCTACGGGAACTGATAAGCCCTCTGAGGTAGAAACAAACTGATCATTTTAGGTACTTTAGTTCTATGAGAGTTTGGTGCCAAGAGAAGGAAATAACACTGAAGGGACTGAAGGAAAAAGATTTTTACAGTCAGTTTGCTTATACACTGTCTTATATAAAACTGCTTCATAATAATTTAAATATACATTCAAGATGTACACTTGAATTAGAGTAGCCTACCATGATGTGCTGGAAGAAGGACAAGCTGGAATCAAGATTGCTGGGAGAAATATCAATAACCTCAGATATGCAGATGACACCACACTTATGGCAGAATGTGAAGAGGAACTAAAATGCCTCATGATGAAAGTGAAAGAGGAGAGTGAAAAAGTTGGCTTAAAGCTCGGCATTCAGAAAACTAAGATCATGGTATCTGGTCCCATCACTTCATGGGAAATAGGTGGGGAAACAGTGGAAATAGTGTCAGACTTTATTTTGGGGGGGCTCCAAAATCACTGCAGATGGTGATTGCAGCCATAAAATTAAAAGACGCTTATTCCTTGGAAGGAAAGCCTTGACTAACCTAGATAGCATACTAAAAAGCAGAGACATTACTTTGCCAACAAAGGTCCGTCTGGTCAAGGCTGTGGTTTTTCCAGTGGTCATGTATGGATGTGAGAGTTGGACTGTGAAGAAAGCTGAGTGCCGAAAAATTGATGTTTTTGAATGGTGGTGTTGAAGAAGACTCTTGAGAGTCCCTTGGACTGCAAGGAGATACAAGCAGTCCATCCTAAAGGAGATCAGTCCTGGGTGTTCATTGGAAGGACTGATGCTGAAGCTGAAACTCCAATACTTTGGTCACCTCATGTGAAGAGTTGATTCATTTGTAAAGACCCTGATGCTGGGAAAGACTGGGGGCAGGAGGAGAAGGGGACGGCAGAGGATGACATGGCTGGATGGCATCACCGACTCGATGGACATGAGTTTGAGTAGACTCTGGGAGTTGGTGATGGACAGGGAGGCCTGGTGTGCTGTGGGTTCATGGGGTCGCAAAGAGTCGGACACGACTGAGCAACTGAACTGAACCAAACTGAACCATGATGTGGGTTCGGATTTACTTCAGAGTTCACCTTGCCCTATATGAAAGTAGAGTCAAAACTAGTTACAGACTGTAGTTCCAAGAGTCATTGAGTAAACATCTGTGATTCTGGAATTGTGTCGCTACTGTTTTGTTTAAGTTACCAATTAAAAATTGTTTTTGTTTTACAGCTGAAAAATAAGTTGGTTACTTCTCCTTAACTCTGGGTATAACTAAATTAATTGATATGTTAATATTTAACTAAAATGTTACCGGGCATTTTAGTTGTGAATCATAATGGCTTCCCTATAAATCAGCTTTTTCTGCTTAATAAGCCACCTCAACTTTGTGTTTTAAAAAAGTAAGTCATGATTTTGTGAGTTAGGGATCTGGGACTGGCTTGGTTCACCCGCGTGTCTGACCTGGGGGTGGCTTGTCCCGGAGCTGTCAGATGGCTTCAGCTGGACTCCTGGCTGATCCCTGCATCTCTTCCTGTCATCCTTCAGCAGGCCAGCTCAGGCTTGTTCACAGTGGGGCCCGAACACGGGGCTCCTAGAGAGCAGGCGGAAGTAGCAAGGCCATCGAGCCCACTGCTATGCTGTGACTTGCTCTGCATTCTTTGGGTCAGAGCAAGTCGTGGGGCTGGTCCAGATTCTCCTCATGGGGGCTGTTACAAAGTGACATGTCTAAGGGCACAGATGCAGGGAAGACAGTGATTTCTGTAACCTACCACACTTAAAAATCTTGTTCTTTCAATATTTTACTGATCAAAAAAGTAAGTTTTATCTATTATTAGAAAATTTGAAAGCATATAATGTATTTTATAGATATAACACTATCAGTAAATGTTTATCTGTCTTTACAATAATATCCCGCAGAGCCTTTCTGATAGTTGGTTGTCTTAAGTATTATTTATTAAATTACCTGGTTTTTAACTTGACAAAATAAGAATGGTAATCATGAAATATTGACCTAGATTCCATGTATTTATTCTTTTAACATTTTTGTGTCTGAAATTTTGAATCATGTTGTTGTTTGTATTTATTCCAGATTCATTATGTTTTGAAACCAGATGGAGTGTTCATTGGTGCAATGTTTGGAGGTGACACGCTCTTTGAACTCCGGTGTTCCTTACAGTTAGCGGAAACAGAAAGGGAAGGGGGCTTTTCTCCGCACATCTCCCCTTTCACTGCAGTCAATGACTTAGGACATCTGCTTGGGAGAGCTGGCTTTAATACTCTGACTGTGGTAACTATCAAGAGAATCGAGTAACCCATTAATCACACGGTTCAGAAATACTCTCTCTCTCTTTTTATCTTGATTGACACAAGGTAGGAATGTAAAATTTTTAGTATTTATTACCTAAATAAGTAACTCAAAAAGAGAAAGTACCTCAGTTAGCAGGGAGGCTATTTGCTAAGACATGCTTGTCCTTCAGACCCTTACATCCAGAGTGGGTGTACCACGAGAGACAGAGCTTCCCCGACGGGGCGGAAGGAGGTGTCAGGAGCGTTCACAGCACAGCCTCTCCCACCAGCTCTCAAGGAAAGTGGTGTCGTGTGAGGCGGAAGTGAGGGAATGTGCCTTCGTGAGGCCCAGGGTTAGATCAGGTTAGACAGGCTTAAAATTAAAATAGCTTTTTAAGGAGGTGTAGTGTGAGTATATTCCATAAAATCAGCTCACCAAAATGGCTTTCATGCCCATCCACGCTCTGACAGAAAGCAAGGGGTGCAGACTAGCAGGGCCTCTGATGTTGGGAAGGGGCTGTGAGGGGAGGGGAGAGACACCAGACTAGGAGGCGGCACAGCCCTCGTGGGGTGATGCGAGGAGCTCGTGCCTGGTCAGACGGCTCAGTAGGAATATTAGAGGACTTAAAGGTTGTCGCCCTTGAGGAGAGAAATGAAACTTCTATCCTGAGTCATCAAAAGAAGGCTAAATTATGTTAACAACATGCAGTTTTCTAAGTTGTAAAGTGAGTTATGTGTTCTGGAAAGATTCCCATTGGTGCATGATCTTCTCTATAGTTTTTAAAATTAGAGGGTAATTTAATAATAAATTTATGCAAATTTGTTCCTGGAGACATATACATTGTCTCCAAAGTGCTATTTTAACGTTGTATCCTGATTAATTTTCAAAAACTCCTATACAAAAAAGCTTTCATATAATCAATTATGCAGGTTTATGTTGCATATAACATTAGATATATTACTTTTATATTGCAATGGATTTTTATTTTAAAGTGAAATCAAGTTAAATTAATATCATATAATTATATTTACATATATGACCCTCTTAATGAATTTTTTTTAATTAGTTGGCATTCTAAGTGAAACTCATCTCCTTTCAGAATCATTTCCAGACTAGCATATTAGGAGAAAACTGTGAATATTATCCTCCATCTTGATTTGAATAAGACCTTTGACAAGGCTATTTTGGTACTCTTTTGATTGAGAAGGAGATGGTGCTTTTAGTTGGTTTCATTGAAATGTTTTCACAGGATATTGTTTAATGGTAGGCATCAGCCTAGAAGGAATTCTTTTTTTTTTCCATCTTAAAATCTCTTTTTAAAAATATATTCCCAGTGTAGAAAAATATATAGAAGAAATGGCCTATCCAGAGATGGTCTTATTAAAAAGTGCATATAGAAGTTAATCCGTGCACATGTTTAAAAGAAAAAGAAAGGCACACAGAGGAGTGACACAGCAGGTCTAAAATGAGTGGAGGTCTCCTCCTGCCTTCTGACACCTCACCCCCTGCCGTCCCTCTCCACGTGGATGCCTTTTGTCAACTGTCTTGTTTGTCCTTTCAGACATACTTCCTCACAGATTGGAGTGCAGTTATATCGCTTAAACATACATCTACAACAGTATATATACTTTTTCTTTTTTCTATATGCAGTCTTCTTTTTCCCCCTGTCAATAACTTGGAGGTCTTCCACTACAAACATATACCCACCACATTCTTTTTTGACATCTATATAGTATTTCAGGCTTCTCTGGTGTCTCAGCTGGTAAAGAATCCGCCTGCTGTGTGGGAGACCTGGGTTCGATCCCTGGGTTGGGAAGATCCCCTGGAGAAGGGAAAGGTTACCCACTCCAGTATTCTGGCCTGGAGAATTCCATGGACTGTAAAGTCCTCGGGGTTGCGAAGAGTCGGACACATCTGAGCAACTTTCACTTTCACTTTTTGTATAGTATTTCGTTGAATAGGTACACTTAATTTAACCTTTTCTCTGTTTAATGGACATTTAGATTGTTTCCAGTTTGTTTGTTCTTTGTATTCTTTCAAACAGTGTTGCCATGAATTTTCTTTTACACATAATCTCGGCAGGTCTGTCAAATTACTGAGTCAAAGAATATGCATTTCAGATTTTGACACGTAAAATTACCATCTATAACGAAAAAATGGTAGCTGATCATTTTGTTTTACGTTTCTTTAGGAATTAAAATGGATATTTTTGATAACTGTACTTTAGGGTTTTGTACTTGATTCTGTGCAACATTAAGTCCAAAATTGAACAATTATTAGATAAAGCTACAGACAACAAAAAGATCTGGATGCTTCAAAAGTAGTGCCAATAAAATAAAGTTTGAGATAAGTGCAGCATTTTGATAGCACAGTTAGGTGAGAAAAGGAAGTGTCGAATATTCAGTGTTAGTTTCCATTGTAGACAAACTCCTACATCTGAGTGGCTAACACACAGTTTTTATCAATCCCAGCCATTCTAGTTGGGCAGCTCATGTCCATCCCATAGTTGTGCCATAAGGGCCTTGTGTCCCCTAAGGTCACTGCCCCCCCAGACATGCCCTGGAAAAGGCTCCCTAGCTGTTTATTACCTGCCTCCACCTCACTTCTCTTGCCAGAAGAAATATGTGGGGCTGCGAAATGTCCAGGAGTACCTGGATATTTGGGGAGCATCAGTGCTCTCTGCCACTGTTCCAACAGTGAACTCCTGCATCGAACTTCAGAAAGAACAGGACACCATTGCTCACCAGGTCACTCAAGAAATAAACTGTGTGTGTCCAGCTGTGTGTCCATTCCTAAACTAGTCCTTGCAATGCTGCTGCAGCCCTGGGAGTAGGATGGAAGCATCTTGGGAGATGACCCTATTTGACTCTGGGTGTCATGTTTAGAGAGAGAGAGATTAATATAGACTGTGTAGAGAAAAATGAAGTTGGCATGCGTAAGGATCTACAGATTTGGTCTAGAAGCCTAACCCTTCCCCTAAAAAGTTATAGTGTCCTGGAAGACTTCTCAAAGACTGTAAGAAAAGGGTAGTTTATAGAGTACAGAACAGACTTTATCTGTGTGAATCCCACGGGGAGAATGAGAGGCAGTTGATGGCATTATAGGAAGGTTACTGTTACAACGGCAAGCATTTACCCTGCAATTTGAAATCTTTGTACATCAAGTGTAAGCAAGATAATACCCGCGAAGAGGATCGCAAAGAAGATTCCTGCTTACTGTGAGAGATTGGTCTGGGGAATTTCTGCAACTTCTCTAATCTAGATTCTTGGTAACGAATGCCAAATGAAGATAATGCTTTCTTTTTAAATAGGACACTGATGAAATTCAAGTTAACTATCCTGGGATGTTTGAATTGATGGAAGATTTACAAGGTGAGACACTTTAAGGAATTTTTAGGCCCCTTTTGAAAGTCGTATTTTGCGAGCTGACTATGGCAGGCACTGGGGGCCAAGCCCTGGAGATACTCTGGGTAAGGAAAAAGTGGACTGTCTTGATGGAGTTTTTAATACAAGCTGGGTGCAGCCGACCTGAGGCAGCGGCCACAAAGATAATTGTTAAACTAGACTTGTGGTAGGTGCTGTGCAGTAGGGGCACTTGGTGACTGCCCACGAAAGGCCGGCAGGACTTTCCTGAAGGAGCGTGTGAGGATGGCAGGACACCCCAGTGACTTTCTTGAGCAGCGCTTGGCAGCTTGGATCCAGGCACAAGAAAGCAAGTGTTGGCTTGCTGAAGGACTGGGGGTTGCCAGAGGGTTAAATGGGCCAGGTCCTGATCTGGGAGAGTCAGTGAAGTCCTGTCTGAGGAACCGATGGCTGTGCCCTCAAAAATGAAGTGAGGCCACTGGGCGAAGCAGGAAGAGCAACATGTGCAAAGGCCCTGTTGCAGGAAAGAACATGCAAGAACTGAAAGAGGGGCATTTTGGCCAGAATATAGGGAGTAAAAAGAGAGGACTGATTAAATTGGCAGGATAACGGGGGCCTTGTAGCCTTTGTTAAGATTGTGTGTCTTTTTCTTAAAATGCCCCATGAGATATTTTAATGGGGGAGGCGTCATGATGTCAGATTTGTATTTTTAAGTGGATTGGCAGATAAATGAATAGGGAGACGCTGCTGTGACGCTTACTGAGAGATGACAGTGGTTTGGACTCAGGTGGTGACGGTAGAGATGCTGAGACGTGAATGGATTCAATTCAGGAGACGTTTAGGAGATAAATGTGATAGTTCCTGCTGATGCATTACATGTGGGCTGATAAGGAGAGAGGCGTTTCAAACATGGCACTGAGTTTCTAGCTCTCGCAGCCAGACAGATGGTACCCTTCATTGATAGAGAAACAGTGGAAGACAACCACGTATGAGCAGGGACAGCTCTTGAATTCACGCCTGGGCATGTTGGGTTGGAAATGCTTCTGAAACCCCTGCAATGAGACATCAGGTAGGTGGTTGAGTGTGTGGCTGTGTAGCTCAGAGGAGGCAAGTGGACCAGGTAAACGTTGTGAGTCACTGTGAATAGGTGGTATTAGAAGCAGTTGCCTGAAACGAGAAGAGAAAGTGGCCTGGTCCGGAGCCTTTAGGAACCTAATGGTGCAGTGACCGCGTCAGAAGAGGATGAGCCTGCAGACACTGAGGATGTGTAGCTAGCAGGGTGCTAGGGAGAAATAGCAGAAAGGGATCGTATTACTTAGACTAAGAGACCCTGAAGAGTTCAAGACAAAGGGAGTGTCAAGCGCTGCTGGAAGCGCGGTGTGGACTGAAAGGAAAGCCGAAGCTTCGGTGACCGTGGGGAGCGTGGGGAGGCTGTCCGCCTGGGCGTGGTGGGAGAGGCGGAGGGAAGGGGATAGGTTGACACGTGTGGGGGGGGGTTGGCTTGGGCAGCGTGCATCTGTCTTCTCAAGAAACTTGATTATGAAGAAGAGGGGGGAGAGGGCAAAGGTACAGGTGTAAGTGGGGGAGAGGAATGGGAGATGGGGTGAAGTTTTTTTATTATGTTTCGTCTCAAGACTTGAATTTGTTGAACAGTTGTTTAGAAGAACCTTAGTGCTTCCATAGAAGAAGTGACTCTAGAAGAGACAGAGAGGACAATTAATCAGGTCAGGTACCCGAGAAGGTGGAAGGCGGTGAGATTAAAGGGGACAGGCCGACATGGAAGGGAAGAGGGACAGTGCAGTGGTCATGGGTGTTTGGTTTGATAGCAGGAGGTTCCTGTCTGATGCATCGATGCTCTCCGTCAAGCAGAGTGTAAAGTCGTATACTGAGACTCAAAGGGTCAGAGGTTTGCAAATGAGTAGAGATTTGATATAGTCACTGTAGAGAATAGGAAGGTGAATGGATCAGAGAGAGTTATCAAGTTTGAAGGGCGCATTTGAAGTTGGTCGAATGCATCTGTAACTTTCTCTGACAATAGCTGGCAGCCAGGGACCTGGTACAAACAGAGCCGTATCAGTCTGGCTTGGGTCTTTACTAATTGAGAGTAACAAGAAGACAAAGGCAAAAGAGAATTCCAAGAGTGTAACTGAGGTCATAGGGCAGAAATCTAAGCTGGAAGAAAAAGGAAGTAGTAAAAAAAAGAAGGGGGAGGAGGAGCTGATGGACTGGGAGAAAGTAGAGGAGGTCAGAAGATGATCATAGTTGAAATACATGAAGATGCTTGAAGGAAGGAGGATATGGTCAGAAAATGGGATGTTTGGACTGGTGATTTTAGAAGTGAAGCAGTTACAAGTGCTGACTCGTCCAGGACACATTACAGGTGTAATGGCAGAGGTGGCGTGATGGAGAATCCCACTGGTGGTAAGGAGACTCAGAAGTCTTAGAGGCCCTAACTGGGAAACTGCATCTTAATTCAGCATTCAGTACTTGCCAGTTATTAACCTTGAAGTCCTCCAGGGTGGTGGCACCAGCTGGGGTACAGAGGGAAGCTGAGCCAAGTGCCAGACCCTTCGCTGAATCAGAGGAGGGCCTGGGAGCCTGATGTCCGACAGCAGGAGTGGGAGAGGGGGCCAGCCAAATGGTCTGGGTCTTCACGGAGCATAGGCGTTCGCCAAGGTGTTCAGTAAAATGCACCAATTCTAACTGTACAGCTGCCTGTATTTTCAAGTATTATATAAACCACGGACTAGTACCTTTTCAGCCCCTCAAAGATTGCTTCCTGCCCCTTTCCAGTTGATAACCCCTCCCCTTCCCTCCCCCTGATGCTTTCAGTCATATATTTTGAGGAACTGTTGCATAATATTCACCTTTAAGCAGCTTTGCCAGTATTTCTCTTTACTGTAAAGCCTTTTACACAAATCATGTCTTTTAGTCTTTAATGTTTCTTATTCTTAAGAGGATTAAGAGGAATTATCTAAAGATAACTTGTGAAAATAATATTTATCAAAGTTGATAGAAACATTACCTGGTTGATTTTATATTCATTCACTCACTGTTTATTGAGCATCTACCATGTGCAGCCGACTGAGCCAGTGTTGAAATGGCAGCTTCTGATCATAGGGAACGTATGCTTTAGTAGAGAAAGAGACACACAGAGATAGACATGTGCTATTAACTGTAAAGTGGGATAATTCTTTTTACAAAGTGCAGGGAGAAACACAGAGAAAAATCCCTAAGTCTGCTTAGGGAATCAGGGATGCTTTTGCAGAAGAGGCAGCACCTAAGCTAAAATGAGTTCATGATAGAAGGAAGGGGTGGGTGCCCCTCTGGGGGTCTGGCCTTGCATTCCAGGCCAAGAGAGAGGCCTGTGTAAAATCATGGAGACTCCAGAGGGGACTCTCAGCCTCCACTTTCCTAACTGGGAAACTGCATCTTAATTCAGCATTGCTCAAATATGTAGAATGGGAGGATGATGGGAAGTGACATAGGTGAGTCCATCAGAGGCTTTTCTAGACTTTATCAGGGGAGCGCTGCAGTCTGTTGGGAGAATTTCGTGCTGAGGAGGGACAGCCAGATTGATGTGTGAGCAAGCTCACCCTCCAGCATCGTTTATGAGGCCTCTTTGTGAGGAAGGGGAGACCGGCTAGCATGGCTAACCCCTCCTGTTTGGCATGAGGAGACTGGGCACAGAGAAGTGACTAGCCCAAGGTGAAGTGCTTGCTTAAGTGCTCGAGCCACATCCTGAGGTGTCGGCCACTCTCCCCTGGAGAGCCCCGCGGCAGCTGGCGTGGGAAGAAGGGTGGTTGAGGGGCAAGTGCTGGAGGGGGCGCTCGGCAGACTCCCAGGGGTGCTGCTCTGCAGAGCGGAAGACGGTGCTACCGTCCCGTGGGTTTTCGGCATGTTACATCATGTTACACTCTTTTCTTGGCGGTGGTGCTGTTTCTCATTTAAGCTGCTATTATTAATTCACAGAAGAAAGTCCAGAACATTGACCTAATTTTGCAAAACAAGTTGCATATCAGCCAAGGAACACATGAGAAGTTTTGGAGGCTTTCACAGTAGTTTTAAGGTAAGTTCAGTTGTTATTTTTTTTTAGACAATACTCAGTATTGTTCCTAGTAAACCATAATAAATTAGACCTTTTTTAAAATAAGCAATTGAACTCGACCTTAAAAACATTTTGAAAGTCTTAAACAATTACCTGTTTCCCAAATCCTTCTGTTATCCCAAAGCCCAGAGCTGGTCAGAAGACCCCAGATGTGTTTCCCGGGTGGTCTCCAGGAAAGGTCTACCAGGCTGTGTTATAAAGGTGTTAAAACTTGAGTTTAATGGAGCTAAAATGACTTTGCCCCAGGTTATTTAAAGACCAGAGCTGGAATTATGATCCTAAAGTCTAGGCTTCATGTGCCACTTGACACTGCTTCTCTAAAGAGAAGGTTCTCATGTGAGGGAAGGGTAGGTGTCCCCAGCAACTGTTAGTAAAACATTAGTGTTTTTGAGTTTCTGTATCAGAAAGCATCGTGCCTAATAATCTTAATTAGTATATCCTTATACCAGTTCTTTGCACTTCCCAGGTGGCGCTAGTGGTCAAGAACCCACCTGCCAATACAGGAGACGCAAGAGACATGGGTTCAATCCCTGTCTGGGTCAGGAAGATCCCCTGGAGGAGGGAATGGCTACCCACTCCAGTATTCTTGCCTGGAGAATCCCCATGGACAGAGGAGCCTTGCGGGCTACAGTCCATAGGGTCACAAAGGGGTCGGGCACGACTGAAGCGACTTAGCACGGCACAGTACCAGTTATTTGGAAGGCATTTAGAATTTCTGGTGCATTAAGTACTTCCATTAAAAAAATTAAGCCTTTTTTTCACTGGTGTGGCCTCTACTGTATAAGTTGCAGCAGATGGGAAGTTAAGGAGAAATGAAAGCTCCACAGCACCGTTGACTGTCAGCAGCAATCATCCTTCCAATACAAGTCCCAGTATGCCTCTGGTCTCTTGTTGCGGTTGGCGGTCGTTAAGTGGGAGAATTTTTTTATATTGGATTGTGTAATGGGTTAAGATGTTAGTGTTAGGAGCCTTTAGAGATCATCTAGCCTGGCCACCTTGAGGCCCCCGAGTGATGGATCTAAGGTCATCTAGCTACTTCATGACCGCAAGAATAAGATCCACCCTCTTCTTCATAGTGATTCCTCTATTAATGCTAGTTTGTACACTATGTCTCTTGTTCTTAATGAATTGGGACTGTTTTACTCACAAGATATGGGACATTGCTTTTAGTATCAGAGTTTATTATTTTAGGGAATAATAAGGACCTTTGGGGATTGGAGAAAGCAAACAGATTTATTCGTTCCATCTAATTTGTTGATTGTTTTTCATAAGGCCATTGGAAACCTGGGAGACTATTACTTTTAAACAACTGAAGAACATTGACATTGGGAATTTTATCTCTTCTGAAAGTAGAAAAACAAAACTAAGAAAATGATTTTTGATCATATAATATATAGACAGTAAATGTAAAGGGTTTTTAATTTTGATTCTTTTAATTTTGCAAGCTAATTTAAAATGTGGGCTTTCAAAGTAATTTCATTTGACTGTATGCATTAAAAATATTAAATATATAACATTAAATTTTAGTGAACAAGAAGAGAACATAAATCCTCGCTTTTAGCTATCAATTTGAAGGAAAGAAATCTAAAAATAAGTGTTAAAACATTAAGAAAAGTGCCCCTGAAGAGAATGCACATAATTGTTTCCTAATCTGGGATCAGTAAAATGTTGTAAAATCTGAAAACACGTTTTGGTACGACTTGAGTCTTCAGGCTTCCTTGGTAGCTCAGCTGGTAAAGAATCCACCTGCAATGCAGGAGACCCCAGTTCAATGAGTCTTCAAACCCTCTTCCAGGTTTCACGTTCATACTTACATTTATGGCTTAGAAGGAGTGAGGTGTTGCACCAATGTCCTGTCCTTCAAAGAGCCGCTGAAAAGGGCGTGAAACATGGCATCACTAGAAAGACACTTGCCGGCTCCTGATGACTCACCTGGGGGGCCTGTGGCCTTGCTTTGGCCCAGCTGGCTTACCATAGTCCATTGCTGCCACATAAAGTGTGCTTATGGGGCTTGCCTCCTGAAATTTGACTTGTCTCACTACCCAGAAGCTTCAGGTAGCTTTGTCTGAGGGTCACTAACTATGATCTGAGAGCAAAATGAGATTATTTATCTTACGTGACTGTCAGCGATGAGGGACGGGTATTCTGTTGGATGAGAGAAGATTAAATCTTTGCTATTGAGCTGCTCAGGTATTTGCTGAATCATCTCAAACCTCTAGTGTGTTTTTAGGGATGGGTGAGAGTAACTGTGCTTGGAACAGAAAGGCCCTCCTGCACCGAGACACAATGCTGGCAGCTGCCGCAGTGTACCAAGGTAAGGAGGCTGCCCGTCCTCCCAGCCGGGCCTCGAGACCGGCCCGTGCCTGTCGTCTCTATCCCCTAAAATCGCACTGCTCTTTGTAAGGCACCTTCAGACTTCTTGTCCTTCTCTCAAAACATAGATCTTGTGGCTGTGTATCCTTTTCCCCCGAAGCCCCATTTTACTGTCAGCTTCTCAGAGTTAAGGACTTTTTCACAAGAGCCTTTCTCAGAATCCCATGAGTATGCTAATGTTCATTTCTCTTTTGGAGGACATACTTTTTTTGAACAGATTTTTTTTGTCCCTACTTGCATTTTTTTCAGACTTTAACCATGATTTGTTTTTATAGAAATGTACAGAAATGAGGATGGTTCTGTGCCTGCCACATATCAGATCTATTACATGATAGGATGGAAATATCATGATTCACAGGTATTATTATTAATATTGATCACTTTTCTTCCTGGGTTGATGTTTCAATTTTCTTTTTATTTATTTACTTAGGGTGGGGGATTTTTTTTTTTTAATATAAGACAGCATTAAAGGGCTTAATTAGAGCTGTAGATATTTATTCATAATGTCCTTCACGTTTATTATTTTCAGGCGAGACCAGCTGAAAGAGGTTCAGCAACTGTATCATTTGGAGAGCTCGGAAAAATAAACGATCTTATGTCACAGGGGAAGAAGTAACAATAAATATTTTATTCAATGTTAATGTAGTCCAGACTTTTCATCAGTGATTGGTAACTTTCACATCTAAAATTACTGCATTCTGAAGCAAGAAGCAATATATAAGCTATTTACCATCAGACTTTTCTAATAATTAGAATCGCCTAATACTCCATCTATATTTAGTAGTGATTTCAATTGCACATGTTTTCTATTTTAATATGGATGTTGTTATCTAGTAATTTGAGAGACTTGTTTGCAGAATCAGCCTAAAAGCAAGATGTTTATTTCTCTGAAAAATCCGAAGATGTTCACATATGTAAATACTTGACCTGATAGAAAAACACCACTCATGCTAACATTTTGTACTTTTTCCTCCATCTGAGCTTTTGTTATTTCTTCGAAAAGACATTAGCAATGGAGATGAGGGGATGAGGGGAAGGACAAGTTGGTAGATTCTTTAGTTTTCTGGTTCCTTGGCATAAAACTGTAGACTTTTATAACAACTACTCTAAGATACTTAAGCCAGAATTATTTGTGATACTGTCTTCCTTGCTCTTTAAAGAGGAACAGAGGATGATGAACCTCTTAAGAGCTATTAAGTAGTTTTGTACTTTGGAAGAGCATCTTCTTGAATCCTTCCTCACCTTTTTATAACCATCAGAATTCTAATCTTGTTCCTTTATCACCTCCACCATTTGGGTGGGAGTCCCATCATTTCACACTCTTCCTTAGTTAGGAGGGGAACCTGACTACGTCCTTTTTTTAGAGGATTTTCAAGGATTACAAAGGCAAAATCACATGTCAGGTACCTGCAGAGCGATGAACAGGGTTGTCTGACTTTGTCGTTTCCAGCCTCTGGCACTGCTCTTCTAATGTGAGTCCACCATCCCGTTGTCATGATCAAAATGATCTGGAAGCAGTGTAGAACAGGCGGAAGAAGGGGTTGCAAGGCTGCGGGGCAGGGTGGGGGCTGATGCTGGGAGGCACCCAGGAGTGACTTCAGGCGTGTTGTCACCGGTCAGCGCCAGGTCAGCGCCAAGTCGTTTGCCGTGCTTTTCATGCAGGGGCGCGGCCCACTGCCCCTCAGCCGTGGGGGTATTACAGGGTGGGCTTGCCTCTGTGTCTCTGTCCCCCCCCCACTCTACCAGTAAGCACCTCCCTCAGCCAGCGCTGGGTCTCACACGGTAGCTGTTCAGCTCCATTTTGAGTCAAATTAAACTATGTGAAGTCAGAAAGAAAAACACCAATACAGTATATTAACGCATATGTATGGAATTTAGAAAGATGGTAACGATGACCCTATATGCGACACAGCAAAAGATACACAGAGATTAAGAACAGACTTTTTAACAAAATTATTTATTTTAATTGGAGGCTAATTACAATATTGTAAAGAAATTTAAGAAAAACAGCTATGTGGATAATGTGCCCTTTCATAGACTGAGTTACAGTTAAAAGTAGAATTTTGTAGGAGAAAAATTACTGTTCTTGCTCTCTTTAGTTGGGACATTCATTGATATTAGAAATTGGGATACTCTTGAAAGCCTTTTTTTTTTTTTAATAAGAGGAAAAGAATACCTAGGAAGCAGAATTTGGGGAAGGTTTTTTTTTTTGGTTTGTTTGTTTGTTGAGCTTGTTTTTTTTCTTTTAAGTTCAATTTTCAGATTTGACAGGAGAAGAGAACAGTGAAACCCCCCTGCATATTAAAGTGTAAATAGATGCCTGAGGAAAGGATACATTCCACAGTGTCTGTTCCTAAACGACACATGTTTATATGTTTATTACTTGTTTTTGAAGAATGCATGCAGAACTGTCCATGCTGAGGACAGGGACTGAGGAACCAGGTGTGTCTGCACCTCTCCTGGTGTTTGAACACCTGTCAGAGGTGCGTGAAGTGGGCAGAAGCAAGGAGGGAGGCTTGTACTTTCACTTTTTAATCTTTCTGTAAATTTTGAGGTTTCTTGCCAAGGGTATTAACTTTCGTTTATTTCATGCCAACAGAGAATACGTGGATGGTGGGGTGGGGCTGGGGAGGAATCTACCTTGAGCTATCTTAGAAATGAGCTACAAAAATAAAGAGGAATCAACACAACGAATTGAGGACACTTGCTGTTTAATGTGAGTGACCATTGTAAAATTGTTTTTTAGTTCATGTCTGCTTGAAGTATCTATTAAGGTTTAATTGTTTGGAACCCTCAGAAAATACATTTTTCTCAAGAGCTATGTTTTCCAAATGATTAAGGACATCCTTTTAGGTCACAAAACTTTTAAAAATGTCTTATCAGGCATATTTCCAAAATACGTTTCATTCTTAAACAGTGTACAGGAACATAAGCATTTCTTTACGACTTTTTTCTTAATAACTTTGTAACTTTTTGTCTTTATAACTGACCCTAAGAAAAATGTGGTTTGTCTCTTTCCCTGCAGTTTTCTTGCTTGCTGTCAATCTCAGTAGCCTGACAGAAATGAACTTGCTGGATCAGTTTTTCTTGCCTTTTCTGATGTGTAGGATTAGAGTTTAGATTGGAAGTTTTGAGGACAGTGTTTAAGGTAGGAAAGAGGAAGGGGGTTCTACAAGAAGGACTCCGCTTTGGAATAAAATGCATGGGCCTTATTGGTTCCCTCAACAAATCCCCGCTGAGGCCCACGAGCCAGGCTCCCGGCTCTGCTCTGCACTTAGGTGTCAGTCTAACAGGGCTCTCGGGGTGTGGACCTGGGACACTTGTTGGCTCCTGGGAGACTTTCTGGATTATTTCTTGGTTCTTAGCAGTATACCAGGTTGTTAGCCTAGAGAATTCCAGAAGTGGCTGGCATACATGAGAAAAAAAATATTTTGAAAACAAAGGATTTCTGCAGAATTTGTTGAGATGGAAGCTACCCATAGACCCTCAAGTCTATATGAATGTAAAAAGTTATAACTACAGAAAGATGCATCTCATGAAGTAGCTATGAAGCCAGTTTTGTTTTTCATACCCTTTTAGTACCATGTTTATCCACTAGGTGGAAACAGTTACAGTACGGCCCTTATGGAAGACAAACATCTGGTGGCTTGGATGGTAAAGAATCTGCCTGCAATGTGGGAGACCTGAGTTCAATTCCTGGGTGGGAAGGCCCCCTGGAGAAGGGAATGGCTACCCACTCCAGTATTCTTGCCTGGAGAATTCCATAGACAGGAGCCTGGCGGGCTACAGTCCATGGGGTTGCAAAGAGCCAGACATGACTGAGTGGCTCACATTATACTGAAGACATAATTTTTATAACTCAGTATATATCCCTTAAATAAGGATAAAATTAACTATTTAACCATCAGTTGGCTTCTGCATAAGAAAGAAATGAACATGTAAAAAAAAGATATTTGGGGAAAAGTATAGTTGGCATAGTAGTTATATTTTACTCCTTCATAAATTATTATTTTAGCTTCTTGCCTAAGAAATATTTTGAGCACTTTTTTAATAGAGGGGGTCTCAAGGTGGGGTAGTTGTTGTTGTGGTTGTTAATAATGTGAAGTTTATTAGTTTAGAAAGCTAATAAACAGATTATTTTTCACAAATGTTATTATGTAGCTAACTCTGCGACCCATGGACTGTAGCCCTCCAGGCTTTTCTGTCCATGGGATTTTCCAGGCAAGGATACTGGAGTGAGTTGCCATTTCCTTCTCCAGGGGATCTTCCTGATTCAGGGATCAAATCCACTTCTGCATTGGCAGGTGGGTTCTTTACCACTGAGCTTCCACAAGTTGGTGTACTTTAATTCTCTGCCTGGAAACTTAGGTGTTTATCTTGCTGCTTTAAAAAAATTAATTTGAAGATAACAGAAGGTACTGCTGTCAACAAATAGGGAAATAGTGCTTTGTGCCTGTGTGGTTTTAAAATCTGCCTGCAGATTCTTCAATACTCTATCCTCTGAGAGGTGGAGTATCATCCTCCTCCCTGTGAGTTTGGGTTGAATTCAGGGATTCTCTTCCAACAAATAGAATATGGCAGTGCTGTGTGTCCCTCTGAGGAGGCAGTCAGAGGCCCCGCTTCCTCCTTGCCATGTCTGGGATCCCTTCCCTGGGAGACCAGTGCCGTTCATGGGGACATCAACCAGGCCTTGGAGAGGACTCTGAGATCTGCCAGCAAGTGAGCCAACTCGGAAGACATCTTCCACCCCAGTCAGACTCCCAGGTGACACCTTGATGGCAGCCTCATAACAGACTCAGAACCAGCCAGCTAAGCCACTCCCAAATTCCTGATCCTCACAAACAGATAACTGTGTGTGGAGTTATACGTTAAGGCAGTGGTGGGTAACTAATATGCTATCTTTGGAGATGCCCAGGGTGTGCCACGATCTTCCTTAAAGCATAGAACATAGCCTGCTTATTTGAAATTGTGTAAAGTCAGCATAAACTATGTTACCTTTGTCCTCAGGGAAACCTGGGCCTGAGATGTGCTTACCTTGAGTTTTGAGTCCATGGTATCTGGAAGTAGAACTAACCTCCCAAGGTGAGTGGGCTTCAAATTTAGGTTGGAAATTTAGTAGGCTTCAACTTTTATTTCCTAGGAATACTGTCCTGGGATCAGTTTTCTAGCAACCTGATGGGGTGAGTCCATAATGAACAAGAGAGTGTGAGGCAGCTCTGGCCTTGGGAGTTCAGTGAGGCGACGGCGACCGTGGTTTTCTCAGTCCCTCCTGCCTCAGCTGTTGAGTTGCTGACGGCTTGTTATCAGGATGGGCTGTTGATGCTGTGGGTTTGTTATAGGCTCTCAGGTGAGCACAATTCTGTGGAAATGGTTCAGCTCAGTTCAGTTGCTCATTGGTGTCTGACTCTGCGACCCCATGGACTGCAGCACGCCAGGCCTCCCTGTCTATCACCAACTCCTGGAGTCTACCCAAACTCATGTCCATTGAGTCCATGATGCCATCCAACCATCTCATGCTCTGTCATCCCCTTCTCCTCCTGCCCTCAATCTTTGCCAGCATCAGGATCTTTTCCAATGAGTCAGCTCTTCGCATCAGATGGCCAAAGTATTGGAGCTTCAGCTTCAGCATCAGTCCTTCCAATGAACACCCAGGACTGATCTCCTTTAGGATGGGCTGGTTGGACCTCCTTGCAGTCCAAGTGACTCTCAAGAGTCTTCTCCAACACCACAGTCCAAAAGCATCAATTCTTTGGTGCTTAGCTTTCTTTATAGTCCAACTCTCACATCCATACATGACCACTGGAAAAACCATAGCCTTGACTAGATGGACCTTTGTTGGCAAAGTAATGTCTCTGCTTTTTAATATGCTATGTTGGTCATAAATTTTCATCCAAGGAGTAAGGGTCTTTTAATTTCATGGCTGCAGTCACCATCTGCAGTGATTTTGGAGCCCCCAAAAATAAAGTCAGCCATTGTTTCCACTGCTTCTCCATCTATTTGCCATGAAGTGATGGGACCGGATGCCATGATCTTAGTTTTCTGAGTGTTGAGCTTTAAGCCAACTTTTTCACTCTCCTCTTTCACTTTCATCAAGAGGCTCTTTAGTTCTTCTAAAGAACTAAATGGCTAAGGATAATCTAAAAGCCAGAGTCGATCCTGTCTTGGTCTTGGCTGGCCTTTGCCAAAACCAGGCAAAGATAAACTGTGTGTAGTCTGAACGCAGTCTGACCCATCTCTGGAATTCTTGTCGAGTCTCGTGCTTGTGCTTAGGACCCCCAGTGCTGGCTATGTCAGAGCCAGGCCTGCAGAACAAGAATCAGGAGTGGCTCCAGGCCCCTGGGTCAGGAGCCTGGGCTGAGACTGGTAGTGGGAGGAGGGGAGGAGGAGAATTCCAGAGGAGGACTTGACAGCCTTGCCAGGAAACAGGAAGTGGAGGGAAGGGCAGGGAGTGGAAGCCAGGGGTCTGGCTTTGGTCCTGGTGTTCTGGTTCCTGACACGTGGGCCAGCAGCATCTCTGACCTCAGGATGTTCACCTGTGGAATAAAGGTCTGGCTCTCAATCTCAAGGGAGGCCACAGGCCTGCCTCCCAAGTCCCTGAGCGGATTCTTCAAACAATATTTTTTTCCACCTTCCTCCTATTGATTGAGAGTTCAGGCCATAAGGATTCCCGTCCCTGAGGGGAGCAGGAGGCATGGTCATTATGGTGGGAAGAGGCTGTGAGCCCTCTAGCAGGGGGAGCTCAGAAACGTTCAGCTTGGTCTGAGGACCTGGGGCCCAAGACAGGAGGAGTCAGGATCGCCCTCTTGCCCTTGCGGTTTCTCAGTCTTCATGTTGATGGTTGGGGACTTGTCTTTTCAACGTTAACTTGGATTTCAACTGAAGCCAGCTTAACTTCTCAACAAAAACAGCTTCATTTAACCCATACCAAGGTGCCATGGGTTGGCACAGCCCTCCTTTTAAAGCAGAGTGTATTACGCCTCTTTCAGGCAATGTGCTGAGGCTCTGATAAGCATGCTTAGTTCTCCCTTCATCTCCTCAGCTCTCTGGCAGGTAGATGCTAGTACCATTGCCCCATATTTCAGATGAGGAAACAGGTTCAGAGAGGCTGTGATGACTTCCCCAAGATCACATGCATGGAAGAGTCAATGTGACTTTGGTTTTGTATGGGACAAAGCATTTAATTTTATCACACTGTCTTCTTTTGGAGGTCAGAGCCTTCTGTGTGATGTCCTACTCATTTTTCTCTACATCTCTTCTCCCCTTTTAAGTGTAGTATGTGTCAGCCAGCGTCTTGGAACCTCCTCGGTCTCCAACACATGCCCAGCCCTGCACTGGAATCCACCCCTGTGGGACCCCCTGCCCTTCAAACTCTTCCCGGGCCCTTCCACTCTAAACTTGATTTCATCCAGTTCAACTTCATCCTGCCTTCTTCTCCTGGGCCATCCTGAACTTCTCTGAGTTCCATCTCCGTTAGCCCTGTATTTGATGTTCTTTGTCTACAACTTCTGCCTTTCAGCTGTGTTCAACCCTTTAAGCAGTGGCACTGCTATAATCAGGGTTCATCAGCCACGGAGATGGTCCAGATGGACTCGCTGCCAGGCAGACAACAGGGGGATCCCCATGAGCACAAGAGGCAACAGGGCCCTGGAAATACAGACAGTGGGGGCACCAGGCAAGTTCAGCTTCAAATTTCAGGGATCAGCTCCTTGGTTGGGGTTCCAGTGGTGTCTGAGTATCTCGCAGAGCAGGGGGATTCAGATTGCAGGGGCCAGGTGAACTGGGAACAGGGAAGGGCTTGGTGCTGGAAAATAAGACCCTGATGTGAGGTCACAGCAAGGCCCCCGTCAGGATGACTGGGGATGAAGTCTCTGGTTCAGGCAAGATGTCTGGCTGTCATTAGACACCCGGGGGCCTAGGAGAGTGATCAGCATGAATTCTGAAATCAGACCTGCCTGTCGAATCCATCGCTAACCAGCTTATCTTGTGTTGGTCACTCACCTGCTGATATGCACCATCCTTAGATTGTGTGATGCTCAGCAGAGAGTAAGTGCCAAGCTTGGAAAGCCAAGCTAATAAGATGGCTTACGTGTGCAGTGCAATAGCCCTCAAACTAGTGTTGCTGGGTCCTACAAAAGAAGATAAGGGTTGGAACGGGGGGAGAAGAAGAGTTTCCAGAGGTAAATATGGTTGGAAAAGCTGAGTCACACAAGATTCAGTGGGTATTTTTCCTGTAAGATGCTTCAGAGTCTTTACTGTGCCCACATTGTTGTGAATCTCCCACAAGAGGCTATGTGTGCATGCCCGGTAAGTCACTTCAGTCGTGTCCAACTCTTTGCGGCCCTATGGACAGTAGCCCATCAGGCTCCTCTGTTCTTGGGATTCTCCAGGCAAGAATACTGGAGTGGGTTGCCATTTCCTCCTCCAGGGGATCTTCCTAACCCAGGGATCAAACCCAGGTCTCTTACGTCTCCTGCACTGGCTGACAGGTTCTTTACCACTAGTGCCACCTGGGAAGCCCCACAGAAGGCTATACTTTATGCATCTTCCAGACTTAATGACCCAATAACCCCTTTATCAAGGGGTACCCTGCAAGACTGTGAACATGTCTGGGGAAATACAGCCTAGCACAACTCCTGGCATTGTGAAGGCTTTTTGAATAATTTGAATAGTTGCAGGAAAACTTATGATTAGCCATGAGAATGCAGTCACTTGCAAGAGTTGTTTATGAACTTTCTCAAGGCAGTCCAGTGCGGGGATTAAAAGCATAGACTCTGGACCTGGTTGTTCTGGCTGTGTGGGCTTCGACAAGTTACTTGACCCCAGTTTCCTCTTCTGGAAAAGAGGGAAGATGATACATTATCCTCCAGGAAAGGTAGTTGTAAAGATCTAATGAGTTAATAACACATTCAGTTAGAACAGTGCCTGGCACATTATAAGCATGATATGTTGGCTATTATTATCCCAGACAGAATGAATTTTAGAGAAGCTTTCAAGAACAAATTATTGACTGCTATTACGATGCCAGCTTACCGTTTGTCTTACATAAAATTTCCTCTTGCTCATACAAAAAGACTGATTAATAAACAGATACTGCTTAAAGTCATTATTCCTTTTTTAAAAAAGAATGTCATAGGTCCTCAGACAGCTGTTTTGCATCTATGGCAAAATCCAAACCTGAAATATAAGAGATTTGCTCTAATATTCTATTAGGTGAAGATTGAACATTCCTTTTTTCAGAAGCACTTTATCTTCACCTAGAAATTATTTTCTAATTAATAAAACACAAATTAGGATAAATCATTTCACACAAGCTCACACTACAAAATAATGTTTCCAATTCAAAACACATGCACAAATGCTGAATGAAATTAATTAGGTGGCAGGAAAAAAAAAAAAGAAAGCTAAAACAACCTAAAAAATCATTCTTCCCATACATGGAAAGATTTTAAGATGTTTTCTGATATAGATCTTAATGTTATACTGAGAGTCTGGATTGGAATTATAAAACTTTGGAGCTGTAAGACATTAGAGAAATCTTTCTTAGTTTGCAGTTGAGGAAACTGAGTCCCATAGAGAGACTCATTTGCCTGAGGTCACTAGCCGGCCCTGGAGAGACAGGCTTGGAACAAAGATGTTCCAGAGTCTTGTCCAGCCACCTGAGGCAGGCCTGGTCATTTACGCAAACCCAGCAGAGCCAAGGCCCAGCCGTCGCCCCCACCCGGCCGGAGGTGCATTTGTGACTGTCCCCAGCGCAGCTCTCCATCCAAGCACCAAGTCTAGCGAAACCCAGAGTCACCGCCTTACACTGAATAGTTTATAGCACACTTCCATGTTGTGGGTTACAGTAGACCTCGACCTAGGCTCTGCTGCCTGGCTCCCACCCGCAGAGATTTTTGTTTAATTCAGCCTTGGGAGTTTTAAAAGTTATAGAGCATCAGCTTTCCTAAGGTGAGAAAACTGTGTGAATCACAGATAAACTCCACTGTAACCTCCCTTGTGTTGTAGCTGGGAACTAAAGGACCAGCTTCTGTGCTGGGTGTAAAACATGAGTCACTGTGCACTTCGTGACAGGCTTGTGCTGAGAGAAGGGGGTGAGCTGGCCCGGGCTGGGGTGAGGAAGGCGGGTGTGGACAAGTTGGTCACCCAGTGCTGGCTGAGGACCTTCCGTATATGGAGGCCTGGGTACTCAGAGACGAGAAGGCCCACCCCGCGCCCTCACAGGGCTCACGTGCAGCTGGACTGGCTGCAGACCACAGGGAAGCTGACACAGCTGTTTTCTTGCTACCAGAAGTCCTCTGACTGAGACACGTGCGGGAAGGCTCTGTGTGAAAGAGTGTGTGGTGCTCGGTGATCAGTCACCACGAGGCCACCCAGGTGTGGGCGAGGGAGCTGCTACAGCCCTGGCTCTGGAGGAGAAGCCCAGAAACAGACGTCTGAATGAGTCAAACACCCTGAACCACACTTGCTTTCAGAGCCTTTGGCTCATGTTCACTTGGAGCAACGAGCTGAAACAGGGAACTGATGAGCTCACCCTGGCCCCGCTCCTAGGTTTCAGGCAGTGCTCCTCTCGACACAGCACACCGCCATCTCCCTTTCTGCCCCACCTGCAGCTGTTCTCACAGGCTTTACCTCGAAGGAGCTTATTCTTCACCCGGTCCTGGAGCCAGGGCTCACCGACTCTACACTCCCCTCTGCATTTATCCCAATCTGATGTGCTGCATTCCAGACACCTGTCAGATAGAACTGCACGGCCAGTGTATGCATTAGGCCCTGACCTGAGGTTTGGATGTTGCCTGCTCCTTCCTTTCACATGTGTAAATTAGGCTTTTATTGTCCTTTGGAAATGGAACTCTCTAGTAAGTCAAGGATTGTGTGCAGGAAATTCTAAATACTTAGACTTCAGATAGGTCTGGATAGTTAATGGCCAAAGAAAGATGTGGCTGGCATGTGGATATACAGTGTTTACAAAGCATCTATGAAGTTCAGTTCAGTTCACTTCAGTCACTCAGTCGTGTCCAACTCTTTGCAACCCCATGAACCGCAGCACACCAGGCCTCCCTGTCCATCACCAACTCCCGGAGTCCACCCAAACCTATGTTCATTGCATCAGTGATGCCATCTAACCATCACATTCTCTGTCATCCCCTTCTCTTCCTGCCCTCAATCTTTCCTAGCATCAGGGTCTTTTCCAATGAGTCAGTTCTTCACATCAGGTGGCCAAAGTATTGGAGCTTCAGCTTCAGCATCAGTCCTTCCAATGAACACCCAGGACTGATCTCCTTTAGGATGGACTGGTTGGATCTCCTTACAGTCAAAGGGACTCTCAAGAGTCTTCTCCAACACCACAGTTCAAAAGCATCAATTCTTTGGCGCTCAGCTTTCTTTATAGTCCAACTCTCACATCCATACATGACCACTGGAAAAACCATAGCTTTGACTATATGGACCTTTGTTGGTAAAGTGATGTCTCTGCTTTTTAATATGCTGTCTAGGTTGGTCATCATTTTCCTTCCAAGGAGTAAGGGTCTTTTAATTTCATGGCTGCAGTCACCATCTGCAGTGATTTTGGAGCCCAAAAAATAAAGTCAGCCATTGTTTCCACTGTTTTCCCATCTGTGAAGTTAGGCTTATTGAAATCTCACAAATCTCCAGTCAGGTAGGAATTAACCCCATTTGATGGAGGAAAGATTGAGGTTTGGAGAAACTATGCCCAATGTCACAGAGCTACTAAGGGACAGAGCTGGACCTCAAACACAGGGTGTTTGGTTCCAAATCCATTTCACTCTCCTTTCTGATTATGATAGACATTATCAGTTAACTCTCTTCCTGTCCCTAGTTTGAGTTTTCAAGTAGTCAAGTACAATCTTTTCCTGCCTAAACACCCAGCATTTTGGCTGGAGAACTAACCTCTGGGTACCGAAACCACACTGACTGTTATGACCTCAACTGTCCCCATGTTTCAAACAATCTGCCATGAGCTTTTAGAGAATATTAAAAGTTGCCATTTATGGAAATTCATTCTAGATGCCAGACCCTGGGATAATTCCTTTACATGCATTATCCTATTAATCTTCATACCAGCTCTCTAAGATCTTGAAAAAGTGAAAAAGTCATTCGGTCGTGTCCGACTCTTGGCAACCCCATGGACAGTCCATGGGTTTCTCCAGGCCAGAATACCGGAGTGGGTAGCTTTATCCCAAGGGAAAAAGATGAAAAGATCAATCTTTTCGTTTTGCAGATCAGGAAACTGAGGCTCAGTGAGGGTGAGATTTCAACCTGGCCCTTGACTTCAGTCTTGGGTCTCCTGCACCTGTCTCCTCTCCGCTGCCCCAGCCCTGGGCCCCAGCCCTGCCTCATCCATCAGGGGGATAAAAGCCAGGCCCTTTACCTTCTGTCCTTGGAGGCTTGTACCATTGCCCACTGTGAGTCCTCCTAAGGGGAGTCCCCAGGGTTCCAGTGAGGAATGGAAGAGAGGGATGCAATGCTGGACAGATGCCAGATGGAGCTGTTCAGTACACGGCTGCTAAGGGAGCTCGGACAGAAGGACCCTGGTGAGGAGGCTGAGTCAGTCCCCGGGCACAGCACCACCATGAGGAACTTTGGCTCATCAGAGATAGACCGTGGTTCACCAGGTCATTCCCTCAAGATAAGATCTGTTTGTAATGTTTGCCTTTCTCAAATTCTGAGGGATCTGTGTTCTTGCCCTTCCCAAACTCTCAGTATGTCTGTAGGGGCCGAGAAACACATTTGTCCTCTCGAAAGGGGACAGGTTGTCACAACCACATGAAAATGGGTGGTCTTTATCCCTAACTCAGGACTAGTGCCTGGAGAAGGAAATGGCAAGCCACTCCAATATCCTTGCCTGGAAAATCCCATGGACCGAGGAGCCTGATGGGCTGCAGTCCATGGTGTCGCAAAGAGTCAGGCATGGCTGAGTGACTAACACGTGGGACTAGCGCGCCCCAAGACGAGAAGTCTGTAAGGGAATCTGAGCTGATGAGTCTCCAACAAACCTCTCCCCACAAGGAGTCATCTCAGCTAAGCAGGAGGTCTGAAATGGTTCCTTAGAGGACAGGTCCCAGTCTTTGTCCATTTTCCCTCAAGGCCTGTATAAGAAGTCAGCAGCAGGCTCCTAAGTCTGATGGGGAAGTTTTTTATTTAGTGAAGATAACTTGAAGTGGACTGGTTCCTGTGAGCAGGTTTTTCTATGGTCCAGATCCTACCCATAGCGATTTTTAAGCAAGAAGATCAGCACAGCAACAATTAGGCCAATCACAAATAAATCCCAGTATGGTCCAATGGTGTTGTCCAATGTCATCCATTTCCATCTCTTTGTAAACTGCAGGCAGGAGACATTCTGTCAAAAATAAACCCAAGCCTCCCACTTTATTCAGAACATCATCTCCCCCCCATCCCTCTGTCCAAGAGTTGCTCGTTGGAGTTTCCAGAGATTTGGGACCTATTTGAGACAAACTTACATTAAAAAACAGGATATCTTGGAGCAAATGCACAGTTTGCAATTTCATGAGGGCCAAGAACACTGGTATGTGAGCGTCTGGACTTGTTTGAGCAGCCATGTCGTATAATCTCCTGGCCAAGTGAACGTCCTGGAAATAGAAGAACAG